TCCTGCCAAAGCACAGACTAGTGACCTCTCCACGGTGCCACAGTAGACCAGAACTGGAGGCAGATGGTTTCACTCCATGCAACAGCAGGCTCAAACTTTCTTTGAGACAAGTGCTATAATTACTCCTCCATTTATCACAGTTCCTGAGGGCGTGATAATTTGGGTAGAACTAAAACATATCTTTCAAAAATGCATCTAGTCTTGACATGAAAGACTTGCAGGGTAGGAGAGAAGCTTCCTCCTAAAGGAAGTCTTTTCCACCTAAACATTAGGTAGCTACTTCAAAGTAGTCATCAAGGTCTCTCTCAAGCCCACCGAGAGTGAACGGCAGCTCCAGTGGGCTACTCATCTTGCTCCAAGAGACACACCTAAGGTGAGGGGCTTGACTCACTCTTTAGAGAGGCCCCTTTTCCCTCGTAACTTTGGAGGAGGCTCCAGTTTCTGTCTTTGAAGAGTACAACTCACTTTCTGATGGGTGAAAGCTGAAGTTCATGAACCTCAGCTCTGGTACAGAATCATAAAGGTTGGAAAAGACCCTTAAGATCGAGTCCAACTGTTAACCTATCACTGCCAAGTCCACCACTAAACCATGTCCTCAAGCACCACGTCTACCCTTCTTTTAAATACCTCCAGGATATAAACCCCTGTTTAGATTTACATGACTTGATCTTTCCATAATCAGGTTTTGCTTGCTGGGGAACTGAAGGACCCAGCAGTGTCTGTGAAGTGACACTCAGGTCATCAAGACTTGGTATCAAAAGTGTCTGTGCCTTCTTTCTGCTAAATATCACAGACTGGGCACCCTGTAATCCTTATCCCACTCCTGAATAATTTTGATGGCTCTACTCTGCTCCTCAGGATTTTCACGTGCTCCACCAAGTGAATCTGCTCCCACAGTCCCTTCTTCACTGCAATGATAGCAGTGATCCAGTGCAGCCCTCTGTGTCATCCCTCTGCTCACACATCCTAGAATCACATCTCTGCTAACAGTGTCACACTGGAAACTATTTCAGCTGCTTCTCTGCTTTACCCACCAAATCCCTCTCTGAACACTGCTCCACAGGATCCTTCTCTAGCTCTGGGTGGCATTGGTTTCTTGCCCAATTGCATGACATCTCATTTGCCTTCATGAAAAAGGCAGGTTTTTTGACTAGGTAGCAAAGGCTACCAAACAGTCCAGCTTGCTTTCCACAGCAGCCCAGTCTTCCAGGTTATTTATAATTCTTCTAGTTTGTGTGTCATGGACAAATGTTATCAGTCCCTGAAGGTCTTGCTGTCTACACCATCCATGTGATTTGTTCACAAACAGCTTTTTCTTCCCTCTGGCTCTCACCCAAAATACAAACGCACCCAGAATAACACAACTGCTGAGACAGGCAGCAGGAAAACCAAAAGGATGGCGGGGAGGAAGGGTTGGTTTAAGTACTACTTGGAAGTGATTGACAGTCACTGTTTTGGAGTGCAGAAAAAGTAATTTATTTTGTTTTAAAAAGCTTAAATACATAAAGCTGAAACTACCGCACATGCTTTGCAGATGATCACTACTTTCTTCTACATCTTTTGCAATACAAATCTCCCACGGCAAGTCTGTGTATTACTGCAAGCACAGCAAGGAGGTGCTTTACGTGTGGTCTGAGAAAAGTTCTCGGAAACCGAAGCAGATTGTAGTAGCAGCCAGTTTCATGTTTTGTGTTCTTTTGCCACACCAAAGAAGAGCAAGAATTAGCCAAGACAATTTTTTTCATTTTCTCTGGAAATGCTTTTTCCATTGTGCCAAAATATGAGGAAAAGTTTCCCCATTCTTCAGCTAAGTTTGAATGATCCAGGCACCTTCTCTACACTGACTTAGCCATGAGCCTATATAATAGTTAAAGATATCATTCCCTGCAGACAAAACAAAATACCTTGAACTTCCTACTTGCTTAGACTGAGAATTCAGGTATCCCAGACAGAGGCTGGGACACCTCAAGGATGGTGCTTCCCAAAGCTCCTCTGATGCTCCATCAACAATGTATTTTTGGAACGCCATGAAGCAATATGCACAAATGAAATTCCTGCAGCAAAAGCATTTAGGAGTCAAGGTGAATATTTATTTCTAAAAAAAGCCAAGTTAAATTCCTTCCCTAACCCTCCCCCTGCATGCCCACAGCCCTTACAAAACACAAACACATTTCAGTGGTACAATGAATATCAGGACCAAGAACGAGGCAAACGTTTTAGTATCTATGCCAAAATTTCCACCACCATGTTACACCTATTGCAACACACCACACATGCCAAAAGCACATGGGAAAGCTGACAAGGATATCTTTTACCCTTTTGAGCGTGCTTACTTCTACAGGAATAAGCTGTGAAGTACAGCAAGAGACTCCCACAAGGCATTAGGAAAATCAGGAAAGACTGTGGAAAGAGAAGTTGTAAGTGCAACTGGAAAACTCTTCCTTTTTCCTATCAAGGCTATTGCTATGTCCAAATATATTACTATGCTCTTTTCAACATCAAGAGCACAAAGATCTGCCTGCAACCAAGCAAGATACTTCTGTGTTCATAGCCCTATTCTATACACCTTAGGCAAGGCAGAAATTTGGCATGAGGATCATCCCTTTCATAAGGCCTGATTCCTCACGATGCTCACCGTCCTCAGTTGAGCAGACTTTGCTCAATGCATGCCCTTGCAAGCGCTGGGTGCGCTCATTCTCTTGAAACACCAGCAGTGTTTTCCAAAGTGCAGACCAAGAGGAGGGACATGTTAATGGGACAGTTTGCGGAGAATTAAGAACCTCCTTGGCCATATGAACCACGGGGCAAGGTGGAGACACTGGGTCCCAAGCCACACACTTTGAAGGGCGCCCATACCAAAGCGGTGAATTGCTTAAGGCACAGGGGAGCAGTAAGAGAGGCAAAACTGGGGAGGAGAGATGGACTGTGATTTGTGGTCCTCAGGAACTCAGGCTATTGGAGGACAAAGGTCTCTCTGGCCCTGAAGGCTATCACAGCATGGGTTGATGTGCTCATGCTTTATTTTGTGCCAATTTAACTAACTTAAGGAAAGGTGCCAGTTTCTCCTGAAATCTCCATTCCCATTAAAGACCCAACTGTGGATGCAATTTGATTGCAAATAAAATTGTCTTTTACCAGCATGAATTTCCTTTTCTTTCCTCATGGGAATAACCTATAGCAGCAATGAATCTCCTTTGTATTGCTTAAAGGACACATTGTGCTGCTCATGGTCTGATAAAAGGGCTAACCCACGTGCACAGGCCTTAAGGAGAATTTGAGGTTGAGAACATGAAAATAGTGCACCTTGATGAACAAAATGGCTATGATAGCCCCAAGACTTTCCAGACACGACTATGAGGTGCATCAGGTATGTTTCATGCAATGAAAGACCTTGCTCATCTCTTGGGCAATGGAAGAGCACACATTTCCTAAAAAGAAGAGGAGATCAGTGTGTCCCGGTTACAGCCAATTTTGGTTCGTCAGCAGGGACTTCTTTTTGCCATGTTTTACTGGTAAGCCTGATATCATCACGAAGAAGAGGTGAACTTCTCAGAGTTGTCAGAAAACAGAAGTTCTGAAGAGGACCACATAAAAAACAGCTGGCAAAAACAGGAGGCATAAGACAATTAAAAGGCCCTGAAAAGGGGACTATCTGGGCCAGTGGACATAGTCGTTTCCTCTACTTCAGGAAGAAGTCATCATTGGGGTGAGGAAAGGAAGGTGCAGAGAAAACAGCAGCCAGCCAGCAGCCTGCTGTAGAGGGGTGCACCTTGCATTGTACAAGTAATGGGAGTTTTTAAGAGTCCCCACTCTACATTTGGCAGCAACTAAGTCCCTAATTGAACGACATGAACATTTACATGGAGCCATCAGAAATCACCAGTTCCAGTCATGGACTAAAGACACTGACACCAAAAGCTATGGCTATTCTACCAAATCAAATGTGCTCAGGATCATTTCTAGACCTGAGACCAACTGGCTTGGAGCAACACAGTCTGCGTAATCGAACGCTTGCCCTCCAAATGAGCTGCACATTCAGGTTCCCAGGGACTCTGTATCAAATCTGTTAAATACTGAGTTTATTTTAATACTTGCTAGCATACTCCAGAGCCAAAATGAGCCAGATGTGATTCTGTGGCTACCAAGCTCAGGTCATGCTTAATCCCTACACATTAATATTGCCCTACCTCTGCTCTCTGAAGAAGGAACTCTTGGCTACATGACCCACTTGTCTTCTCAACGACAAAGACACAGTGAGACAGCAGTCCAACCACAAAACATGTATGAAAAGAGACAGCACTCTGTGCTTCAGGGGAAAAGACCCTCATACAGCATGTGCAGAATGGAGTCAGTGCTTGGACTATTTAACCAGGCTTTTGGGGATTTAGTGGAGAAACTTGCTTGGGATATCAGCTTTGAAGGCTCAGTCTCATCTCTACACTGTAATGGGACTAGCTGTTCATGGACATTAATGGCCATTTAGGTCACCACCGTGGTTGGACACAGGGTTCTACAGAGCTAAATGCACAAATATCTGATAGCTTTAGCTAAAGAATTGGAACCTTTAACTGTAATTGTTACTGCAACAGTCTTGGGCATCAGAAAGCAGCAAATACATGTCCTTGCAGGACAACAAGCCTCTGTTGCCAACATAACAGAAAACTGTCATCTACAGCCAGGGAAACCTAAGTAAAGGTCAAATTCAGTAGTTCCAGGGGCTGCAAGGATACTTGAATCCTCCTGTGGCAAGGTCTGTGATGCAGCTTCACACAGCCCAGCACCCTTTCATCCTCTGACCTAGATCAGCATCAAAGCCACCAGCATCATGAGGCCAGGAAAAACAAAATAGAGGCTGCTCAGGGGCTGGCTGGAGCACATCTTCTTCAGTGGCTTGTATTGCCCTTCCCCGCACAAAGGTGAGATGTCTGTCCACATGCTGGGTGGCCACTCTCTCAAGGGGAGGCTCTGGGTGAGAGATGGACGCAGCTGGAGCCCCATGGTCATCTGTTCATGCGCTGCAGGATGGTCACGCAGCCGTGATAACTGGTACAGCGCTGCAGCGGCGGCTGCTGTTCCACGCTCCCTGTTACTGGGTCAAAAGTGAACGCTTTGTCCGTTCCTTCCCCGTTCTCGTCTCGGCCACCCAGGATGTAAATCTTCCCTCCACACACCGTCAGGCCACAGCTCTCCTGGAAAGCAGAAGGAAAGCCCAAGAGCTGAGGAGCAAGCCTCCAGCTTTAGGCAACGGGGCTGAGTCATTGCAATGGGCTCAACTCTCACCTGCCCAGAAGAAGGGAATGAAAATAAGATAAGTGATGTCTGGCTCTTGGGGTGCTGCAATCTTACTGTTTCAGTAAGAGTTTAGGCACTTAAAAGGCCTCAAGCCAGTGATGGGACCACTGCTGTTTCTGGCAGTGCCCCAGACTCACAAGCACACCAAGAGACCAGAGACCCAGCCAGCACCTCCCTGTGAAAGCTGCTTATAAGCGTGCACTGACATGGGCATTTTAATTCAGATTGGGATGAGATGTGTCCCATTGTTCCTCTTCACTGTGCCATGGCTCACATTGCAGCATGGCTATGGAGTGCAAAACCATGATGACGGTAAACCAAGACACGCAGCCACCACAGGTCCGTGTTCAGTCCACAGACCAAACTAGAGCCAGTACAACCCTCACCCTGAAACACATAGTGTGGAGAACAGGTCCTCAACACCAATGGTTTCACCCTACAAATCCACTTCTCTGACATTAATAGCTATTGTAGACCCAGCCTCAGCAAGAAACATGTCTGGGAGACAGACATCCTCCAAGCAGTATGGACACTGATGGTGAGCACATGTTTGAGTTGCTCTGCAGAGGTCACATTCACATGCTTAGAGCCAAACCCACGATGTATTTTCCTTGCCTTCAATCCCAGCAAAGGACAGATGTCTCCTATTCTAGAGAGAGGGGGAAGGCTCAGAGCTTCTTTCCTAAACCTCTACCTTACCAGAGGCCCAGGGAGGGTGGCCACTTCTCGCCAGCTGTCTTTCCTTGGATCATAGCTGAAGATTTTACTGAGGAGTCCACCTACAACATAAATTATGTTGTCCAAGCAGACGGCACTGATGCATCTCTGGTAAAAAGGGGTGGGAGACAAGAGCGTCCACTTGTTGTCCTCTGGGTCGTAACACTGGACCTGGGAGGAGAAATGCAGCTATGGGAACATGAATTTACCACAACTCCCTGCTTGGATGAAGCTGCTATTCACTAGAAATAATAGCATATGGGGACAGAAACACAGATGGAAGCTTCAACGCCCAGAGACCAGCTCAGTGAGCAAAGGGATGAGAGGTTCTAACATTCCCTCTTGCAATCAAGTCTCCCAGACAAACTACAAGCCCCCAGGGTGGCTGTCCTTGACCCAGACTGCCTGTGATTAAGTGTTCAGAGATGGAGCTGAGAAGCACTGCTGGCTCTTCCTGCAGCTCAGGAGACTAAAAGCATCATGTCTGGCTTGCAGAGGTCTCCTCCAGGCAGTTACTACTGTTGCTGCTTACCCAAAGTGAATGCCCACGGTGTTGGAGGTTTGTTCCTGTGGTGCCTTAGGGCTGACCAGGCTTCAGAGCAGAACAAGCTCTACTGAAACCATGCCTAATGTACTGCCACCTCCTGACACCTTCCCTCTCTCGTCTCATTGGCTTCCATTTAAATGTATGATGTCTCGTCTTATAATAAGGGAGCCTTCATTAGTCTTCAAAAAAAAAGGCCCTTTGTAAGCCCTTGTAGCTTAAGGACAACCCCATTTCCCTCCACGTTCCCTGGGAAACCTTCTTTTTTAGGTCTCTGACCATTCTTGATGCCCCAGCAATACCTTGTCAGTGTTAGCGGTGTCATCCACAGCACCGCCCAGCACATAGAGCTTGTTCAGGCAGGAGACCACAGCCGCCGAGCTCACGGCTTGAGGCAGCGGGGCCAAGGTTGACCAGCTGTTGGAGAAGGTGTCATAGCACTCCACACTGGAGAGGCGGTAAAAACCATCAAAGCCTCCCACAGCATAGATCTGACACAAAAGGAGCAAAGCAAGCCGATTAGAAACTCCTGGACTCACCTAATGGGCTACACTGTCACGACATTATGTGAGGGGAGGCTAGGACTTGGCCAAAAAGACAGACATCAAGCCAAAGTAAAACCTTGGGGTTGGACTAGATGATCTTTAAAGGTCCCTTCCAAACCAAACCATTCTACGATTCTATGAAACATCTCACACTGTGTAGCTTTCACGCGAAGACTTAACATAGCTATCTACAGAAGTCTTGCACCATCTCATGGTAGATCTTATTGCTACAACTTCATTTGTGGCTACTTCAGGTGACAACACACACCCAAATGAAACAATGACTCCTTGGTTATGTCCTAGCTGTTCTCCCATCAAAACCATCAAAAATCATCTCTAAGTGACCCAGAAGACGAACACACACCCACAGTTTCTCATTGTACTGGGCAGCAGAAGTGGGGGACAGTGTTCCATGTGGCTTCTTCCAAAATTTGGGCTATTGCTTACCTTGCCCTGAAGTGTTGCCATTTTGTGCCTCCATCGGCCTTTCTGCAGACAAGCAACCTTAATCCAGACGTTCAGCTGGGAGCTCAGCACCCAAACATCATTGCTGCTGATGTGTCCTCCTGAAAAACAGAGGGATGGAGGGCTGGTGCGATCCCAGGGACCGCCCCGTCACCTCACTACACCACAATATTGCATAGCTCCTCCATGCAATGGAACAACTTAGGCCAGAATACGGTTATTGGATTATGGCCATGTAAACTCAGCTTCCCAAGGGAGATACCATCTGGGCTTCAAGGCACTTGTTACACTGCTCCATCCCTTATATAGAACTAATCTGACAGGCATATTTTAAGTGAGGGACAGGCAGGAGACTGATGCTTTAGGAAACCCTGAGAGCACACACACCAAAACCATCTCATTCCACTGCTGAACACTTTTGACAGATGCCCAACAGGAGGGAAAGGTGTCTTAATACTGCGAACCTCCCTCTCAAAGGTGAAATTGTTCCTTGGGACAGCAAAATCCAAACCACCTAAGGATAAACTTCACCAAGAAGTGACTTTGCTCCAAAGCTGGGGTGCATGTGGATGAGTCCTAGTGAATAGACCTAAGAAGTGGCTGTCCAAGCAGAGGTCGTGCTGTTCTTTGCAACCAGGAAGGGACCATCTGGCCAGGGTATCTCACCTGATATATACACATCATTCTTCAGTGTGCAGGCAGCAAACTCTGACTTGGTGTAGCCAGGCACGCTGGAGAGAGCTGTCCACTGCCTGCTTTTTGGGTGGTAGAGGTCTGTGAAGGGCAGCTTCAGAAGGCCTTTCTTATCACAGCCCCCAATGACGATGATGACTTCTGCCAGCTCCATGAACCTAGACCATGAAAGGCATGGGTAAGTCCCTGGGCCAGGTTACTTTCTTCCATCATCCCTTCCACCCTATCTAGGACATCAGCAGCACAGCCCAATGGATAGAGCAGGGTGCTCTCCTGCATCAGCTGCCGATTTTCTGGGCAAATCCTTTCACCCCTTCACCTTCCCTTTTGTCTGCACATTCAAATCAAAGGCACCTCCCAGATTGGATGGGGAGGGGTCCAAACTGCATAGCGAAAGAAAATGGGAATGACCTCTAAAAGTCCTTCGTGAGATTACCTCCTGCCACTCACCCTCCCCCTTCCAGCACAATCAAGCCTAATCCTCAAGGCACAGCCACGAGCGTGGAAAGCTGCTCCTGGCAGCCCGCCTGCAACAAGCTCTCTGCCTGAAGAAAGTGTTTCCAGGAAATCTTTCTCTCCAGCCCTAATAGCAGCGAGCAGACGAGACAGACAGCAGGGGAAGGAAAATCCTGCCAGCTAGTAGGTGGCAAGAGAGGAATGGCTCTGTGGGAGAGGAGCGGAGAGGAAGGAGGAGGGTGAAAGAGGATTTGAAGGACTTGGTCCAATCCCCAGCTCTGCCATGGTTTGTGCTGAGACAATTCACTTAAGACCAAAGCTGTAAAAGAAAGGAGGTAAAATGTGGATGTTGGAGGGTGGGATTTATCCCCAGTGAATTTTAGCTGTTTGCATCCTTGAGGAGATCACTACGGACCCTGTTGTTGAGCAATTCTGTATATAATAGCCTGTTGTGGTATTCAGCACAGAGATGATGTGTCAAACCATCCCTTCCACCCAACAGAAACATGCCCTAAATGCCACGCTGAGACTTCTGGGATGCACTGGGGCAACCTCTGTCCTTCTGCCCAGAATGCTCCACTGAGCAGCAAAGAGAGCCTGCACTCCTTGGGCTGAAGAGGACTCTTGAGAGCAAAAGAACCTGACCTTGCAGCCCCATGGTTGTGGGTGTCCTCTGGAAAAGGATGGGGAGCCTTGCAAACCAACTCGGTTTGATATGGCAACCCACCTCAGAGCAGAGGTGTCCATCAGCACTCTTACCAAGAACACCCTAAGGGACCTGTGGTACCATGAAGAAACAGCAGAAACTTAAATCATGGCTGGTCAAACCCTAACTTCACAGTCACAAAAAGGTGCAGATTTCCACACACTCCCAACCCTAGAAATTACTTTTTCTTTGCCTCCTCCACTTTACACTGGCAGCTGCCTGGGCCATCATCTCTTTATCTTCTTTCTGTTCATCAGTAAATCAATGGAACGAAAAAAAGAAAAGAAAAAAAAATTGGGGGATGCCTAGGTAGCCACCTGGACAGTAACTGGTTTTTTTTCACTGGACATTAATTCCTGACCTTGCAGCAATGCCTTTAAGCTAGGCACCACACTGATGGCCAGGAGGACTGAGACTGGTCCAAGCCTTCTTGCTAACAGACAGTTTGGAGAAGGTGAGAGAGAGACCAAAAAAGGTGAAATGAGAGCAGACCAATGGCAGACCTAAACCAGGTCTCAACCCAGTGCTCTACCCATTGGTGAAAACAGGTAGAAATAAAAAGCTACAAAGACCCCTTCCTGCCCGTAGTCTGGGCACATATCTGGATAGCATCATTGCACGGAACAGCGTGACTAGAGCATTTCTTGCCAACAAAAAAAAGCAGCACATGCATTAGTATAAATTTCACAGGAATCCTCTAAGACAGGCAAACATCTCCAATGTCTCCATTTTAGAAACAGGGATGCCAAAAGCAAAGCAATGGGAGGAAAAAAAAAAAAAAAAAAAAAAAAAAAGGAAAAAACAACCCAAGAACACTGAAACTTTAAGATCCATCAACCTAGGTCATGCAGGTCTAGGGAAGAAGATGCTGAGTTTTACCTTCTGGGCCTTGATCGCAAAGAGCTGACCTCGTTCCCGAGGATGTAGTACTTGCGGGCCTCATGCAGGAGAGGAATGCACTCCTTTGAGTCCTGAATGAGTCCATCCATTTCCACCTTCTCCAGGAAGTAGGTGGGGTCGAGCAGGGGCAGACGCACATGCTCAAGGAGCTCCTTCAGGGCTCCCTTCCTGGCAGGTACGTCATGCCGTACCCAGCGCATGACTGCTTCAAAGACCACTTCCTCCTTGGGGACCACCAGCTGCTCATCGGACAGGTATTCAATCAGCTCCTTCACACCCATCTCCAGGAACTCTTCATGACACGACACCTCCACAAAACACTCCAGCATGAACCTCTTGCTCTTTTCTGTCAGGGACACGATGGAGAATGAATCGGCAAACTTCATGATGCCCAAACAATTGCATGGGTGAAGCTGGCCTTCAAGGAAGGTGACACAAGCATCTCTGAGCTTGGAGATCTGCAGCAAGTCAGACAGCTCCAAGATGCCTTCAACATTGTCCTCTTGAATGATGATGTTTCCCCCATACATATAGTCAAGAAGGAGAGACATAGTGGAAGCAGAAATTTTCTGGATATTAATGATATCCTGGTGGCCTTCCTTGAGACTGCCACCAAACATGGCCCGGAAATACGTGCTGTTGGCTGACAAAGTGGCACGGTGACAGGGGAATTCTTGTCCGTCAATTAATAGCACCACGTCTGTGAAGATGCCGCTCTGCCGGTAGGAGTTCAGTGTCTGGAGGATTTGCTCAGCATGGCAGGACCCACTGCAGAGCTTCATGTGCAGCTTTTCTTTGCTTGGGTCCTGCGTCACATTTTCCAGGCTGCTTGTCCTGAAACTTGATTCTTCTTTCATCATTCGATGCATCCTGGTTGGGAAGCAGTGAAGGAGACCAGAAAACAGTACATTATTAAAATATCTGACTGTAGTGTCCAAAACCATCATGGTTTCTGCATCTTCCTCAGTGCCATGGGGAAGTACAGATTCCAGCCAAAACATAGTCAGACTCTGCCCTTTCATCCGCACACACGGCTCCTCCTCGGTAACCAATATTTCCTCCAAACCACACACAGTGATGGGCACTAGGATATTTCCAATCCAACCCCATCTCAGTAGACAAACTTCTGCTTTTAGGAGACGTTTCTTCTAAGGCAGTTGCCTTGCCCAACCTATGCCGTACTAACACCTCGACACCTTTTCCTTTTGTTCTGACGCCTTGCAGCTCTTATGAACTGCTTTCCTCATCCTGCCAAATGCAGGCGCTCTGTGGCACAGCCCAGCTGGAAGCAATGCAGCGTTTTGACTTTTTCTATCTACCATGTTTCCCCAGATGTCTGATTCCAGGAAAAAAAATCAGAGGTAAGGATGCGAGACTGAGATTTGCCAAAAGTAGCTATGATACGACCTGCCCAAAAGCAGGGGAGATGTCTACATCTGACATACCTTCCTGCTAGATTTGTTCTCCAGGTGATTTTAAATCTTTCCTAAAGGACTTCATAAAGTGATTGCAATGAAGCACAGCAGACTTCTCTCATTTGAGCTCTAGCAGCTCACACTGCCAGTGTGAGCAGCAGGACCCATCCTGAGCACCCATGGGCTCAGCCTGGAGGCTGCAAATAGCTGCACATCCAAAAGGGTGATCCCTGCTTACGGGGAGAGGAGGCAGCCGGATCCCCTGTAAAGAGTAATCCCTGGGGAGAAGGACCTCTGCCTGCAGAGGCAGGGTCTGAAAATCAGGGGAGCTTCGTGGCATTGAAATAGTGACAAGGATCGACTGTGTCTGACAACAGTGAGAGAATCAGAGACCCCAAACCCTCAATTTCTGCCTCCGCCATCCTAGACCCACTAACAGGTTGTTTCTGCCCCATTTTCTCCACTTCTCCCCAAAAGCCCACCCTGACTCATCACGGTTGCACAGACACAGATGCCTGGGGGGAGACTGAGTACAGGATTAAACCTGGGTCTCCCAGCACTTGCCTGACTGCTCTCACCAGCTGGACATTAAATAAAAGGGGTACAGCAATGCCACCATCTGTGTTTTAAAAGCATGGCAGGGAGTCAGTACAACTCCTTGAGTGGGGGTACCAGTAAGGGCCATCAGCAGAGCACTCCTGATCACAGCTTCTACCATGGCCTTGCAGGTTTTTAGGTTGCTTTTCTGAGGCTCTGTAACAGCAAAGACCCCGTCTGGGGGTGGCTCAGGCTCTGCTCTTAAGGGCCCCCCTAAGTCAGGCTCTGGAGCATCTCACCACGACCCTCTGGCAGGAGCACAAGTCCCCACTGGGGTGACAAGTTACTAGACACCAGTGGCTTTGTGGTGTCCACACGCTCCCCTGCAGGAAGGCAGGTAGCACATCCCTTGAGGAGGGTTACCTTGAATTTCTCATGAGTCAAAATCCCTGTCTTAGCTCTAGTCCTTCATCTCTTTTCCTACCCCTGCACCTCCCAGACACCCATCACGTCCGACCACAGACCCCAAAGGTACTCAGATTCTCCCATGCTCCAGACGACACCTCCTGACTGCACCTGCAGCAGGGTAGCTGTGTGTAGGACAACTAGATCTAGTCCTGATGATCCTCACCCCACCACACTGAGAAAGTGGCACCGTATCCTTTGTGCCTTCAGAAACCCCCAGCAACGGGGAAAAAAAACTCTGCCCATGCCACGGGGGAGCTGCAGAGACCTAAAGAACAGTGAAGCAGCATGACAAGCCCGAACTAAATATCTAAGAAATCCTGTGGGAGCGGGTGAAGGCTCTAAACACCCCGAACACCACTGACTGGTGCTCAGGGCTGTGTACAGGAAAGAACCACTCTGAGTCAGTTCAAAGCGATTTAGAGAAGTTACAACAAAGGCAGCTCTCTAAAGATGTCTTTGCGAAGAGCACGGGGAACTCGGCGTTTTGCCGACACACATGGGTCCAGCCAAGACAAACACACCTATATCCCCACTTCTCTCTTGATCCGCACACACTTCCGAGCCATCAGGGTCACACACAGCTCTGCATGGCTCAGGGCTGGGAAGAAACAGCTCAGGCTGACCTCCTTACAAAAAGACACACACACCCCCTCCCTCCCCAGTCAATCCAAATACCTTGCCCAAGCTCACGCCCCTCCTGTCTACCCATGAGACAAATGATGCAAATGCCAAAGAAAGAGTGGATTTGCCCTGTTGCCCTCACGCATGCACCCTTCTCTCCAGGTCACCCTCTCCATCCAAGTACCACACAGCAGCAAATGCTGTATTTTTTTGTCAGGCCTCCCCAGCTGCTAATGCAAGAAAGTCCAACGTTACCTGACCCACGGGTTGTGTCCTCCAGGTGGGATCTAGTGAAGACTCAACTTCCCTCTCGGAGAGCTCCCATCCACTCCGGGGCTCTGCATGGAGACAGGTCCCTTCTGCAAAGCACTCTCAGCCCTTCTCCGGCAAGGCTTGGGGAAGCACAAAAGCATCCCCTTTATCCTCACTGCCAGAGAGGTGGGGGAGAAATCTGCTTTTGTTTCTCCTGAATGACATGCCAGAGAGCTACAGGGCATTAGCCATGCAGCTGTCAATAACAGCCAGCCAGGGAGGAGCCAGGACCCAGGGAAAACCCATCTCAGCTCAGGGAAAATATATCACACCAGGGCAGCTCAAGAGGGCCAAGCCATCTGGAGAGCAAATTGGGGTCCAGGTGGAACGATTCACTTGATAAAGACTCCGTCTCACTGGAAACCACACTAAAGCCAATAAATAAAATACAGCTCTGTGAGCAAAAAGACGCCCGGATATGGACTGGGTCAGGGAGGAGCTGCAGTCCCCCTCATTAACGTGTGATAATTAGGTAATTAGGTCCTTGAGGATGAGGAGGACAGAAGGGGAGGTTTGCCCCGTGTGGCTTTCTACACCCTCCCCTCCAACTTGATCCCAGTTTTGGCTGAATTTTTAAATGCTCACAGCAGGGACCAAAGCAGCCCTGGGGAAGCTCCACAAAGTAACCCTTGTGCTGAAGACTGTCAAACTCCCTGATTTGATGCAGCCAGCCTTCCCTCCATTGCCCAGCATCACTTTGAACAACTTGTATTATTTCACACTAGATGGAAGAAAAATATTATTGATAACCAGCCCCTGCATGTTGTCCTCCTGAAATTGCCTTTCCACGGGGCACCGCTGCCATGTTCGTTGGCTGGCTTCTTTCTGCTCCTCTCCCATGGCTGGGATGCAGGGCACAAGCTGGCATCCTGCTTGCTCCCAGCATTTGCATATGAATCACTGGCAACCTGGAAGGGACTGTGGTTTCCCAGCCTTTGCAGTGGGCTGGGAGGGTTGGGGGATTTGCTCTTAGGACCTTCTGCCCTGATAGAGTTGGCACTGCCAGGCTGCACCGAGCAGGGGTGCAACCATGGCTGCGCACGGATGCAACTAGGGATGACCGGGAGTGGGTCATCAGGACAAATGGCAGCAGAGCACTGATCCTGCCCTGTGGGGCACGGCAAAAAGAGCTCCAGAGTGCTGGAAACTCTTCAGCAAGGTTGCAATGCTGTCATCTCCTTGCAGCCATAAAGCACGGGGCTACTGACCTGTTCAAAACCAAACCCCAGCTTCAAGCAGTGTGTGCAGCCCCAGGGGCAGGGGGACCAGATACTAAGAGTTGTAAACACACGAAGTGGCCACAATGAGAAGGCTTTGCAGGGTGCGGCTGTCCCTGTGCCCATGCCAAGCCACGTATCGAGCAGATTTCTACAGCCAGACTGCACTGCCCTGGATCTCCCCATGTGATGCCACCCTGCCCCAAGGCAGCTGTCACTGTGCAAAGGCTGTGCTACAACCCACGCTTGTGGCCTTTTTGCATAAGACAGAGGGCATTAAATACCCCATAGAGCTGCAGGAAGCGGGGGTGTTTGAAAGGGGTGTCTGCTAGACAGTACCAGAGGAAGGACACCTTATGCAGGGGCAGGAGCTCAACCCCTCCTTTGCTCCCAGTGCCCTGGGTCTTCTCTCGGGGTAGATATAGACACCAGAAGCAGTGATCTTACAGTGGATTAGGACTCCAAAATCCCTTCTTCACATTAAAAATGCTCAGCCCCTGGCACATGGCCCATGGAAGCCATTAGGCACAAAGCCACAAGCATTAAAAAGATGCAAAAGGGAAATACAAGTATATAGGACCAGGAACTCCAGGCATCTGTTGGGGAAAGCTCACTGTGTGTGTAGGAGCAAAGCTTCCCGAAGGAGCAGAAGAGTATGCATGCCAGGAGGAGAAAGGAATAGGAAGGAGAAGAGATGCAGCTAAACTGAAGAGAAAACAAGGAAAAAACAGTGGAAAAGAGGAAAGGTAATATTGAGTTTTGCATAAATCGGGTAATGGATGCCATAGTGAGACATCTTGAGGCAGATGGTCACTAGGACTTGATCACACTGTGGTCTGTACCTCCCCACCACACACCCAAGAGAAGGAAATGTGTCCTATCCAGGACAGTTGTCTATGCTCTCCTGCCACCACGATCCGTGGCCCCACCTTGCCATGGAGAGAGTCAGGACACTCTCTTTTCACCCTCAGCCAGTTAGCAGAAGTGAAGGGCAGCCACCAGCCTCTGGGAGAAGAGACTGAAGCAGGAGAGCCAAGTAGATGAGTAAGGATAGAGAAGTAACTAGAACAGAAACAGGGTCCAGAAGGAAGAGAGGGAGAAAACTAAGAGGCTTAAGAAGGGAAAAAACCAACTTGGTTTCCTACTTCACATATTGTCAATACTCACGTTGAGCTTGAAATCTGGTCAGGAGCTTCAGCCAAGAAGCGGTTGCTTGCACCAAGAGTCCAGGAGAAGGGGAGCCAGCCTTCAGCCTCATGCCACTGCTCACATCATGGCTAGACTTTTCACGCTGAGTTTGAATTTTGAAAGCTCCTAACCACTGCATCATATTAAGGCTTTAGCAGAGATATGAGAGATCCTTCTTGCAGCAGATAACTGTGTAGGCCTAGGGCATGGTCACATCAGCATCACCTCCCAGACCCCAGGACTACAACCCTACTGGCAAATTTAAAGGGCTGGAAAGGTTCCCAGATACCACGAGAACTATCCCAGCTGTACCACTAAGCTCTTATAAATAAGGGCAGTTTTAGAGAAGAAGAAAGAGTTAAATAGCACAATGTTGGCTGTCCCAAGACATTTGGGCTTAAAGCCAGCAACCAATCCTCAGCTCTTTTATTTGAATAACAGACACAGCCTACATGACTCTCTTTTCTCTCCTTTCAACTTTTCAATATCTTCCCTAGGGTACAGCAACGACAGCCCCAGGTTAGGGATTATTCAATGTTATAGATATCAGGAGCTCTACCCTTTCCCCTAGGGCAACTGTATATTTAGCACTCAAAAGGTATTCCCAGAGCCAGTCAAATTCATGACACGGTACTGACTACCCATCACCAACCAGTGAGATAGTGTTGTATTTACTTTAATCCCTTTCAAATATCATTTAAATGCAGCCATTCAGGGGCTGGAGAAAACAGCTGCTTAACAAAGAACAATCCCACGCTGACCCAGACAAGATCCCCTTCTCGCCCAAAGCACCCTCTGTCTGCAGCTGGGAGCAGATCCTGGGGTAAAGAATAAAAAAAAAATAGAGCAAGCACCAAGCAAACCTTTCCCTTAATATACACATTTAGCAAAGAACTGCTCAGGGACTTCCCAAGCTGGATCTCTCATCCGGACTCCGGTGTTTAATAAGTGCTAATGGACATATGAGCCATTTATTCCTCTCTGAACTTGCTTATGGGTTTTGGCCTTCACAGCACCCTGGGGCAATGACTTGCATAATGTGTGTTAAAAACAAATTGCTTCCCATTTTTTTTTGGTTTAAAACTGCTGCCTGATCAGTTCTACGGGTGCATCATTGTCCCCATGTGGCCACAAACACTGAAAAATTATTTTGCAGTTACCATTCAAGACTCAGGTCTGCACAGTCACCTCCTCTCCATGACTGCTTTTCAGCTACTGTCTTATAAAACCTTAAAAAGGTCTCCCCGCAGCCTCCTCCTCTCCATGCTGAACACCCCCAGCTCTCAGCCTGTCCTCCCAGCAGAGCTGTGCCACCCTCGCACCATTGCTGTGGCCTCCCCTGGCCCCGCTCCAACAGCTCCATGTCCTTCCCGTGCTGAGGACCCCCGAGCTGGACGCAGGGCTCCAGGGGGGTCTCCCCAGAGCGGAGCAGAGGGGCAGAATCTCCTCCCTTGCCCTGCTGCCCACGCTGCGGGGGATGCAGCCCAGGAGACACTTGGCTTTCTGGGCTGCAAGTGCACATTGCTGGCTCATGGCCAGATTTTCATCTGCCAGCACCCCCAAAAGTCCTTCTCCTCAGGGCTGCTCTCCATCCCTTCATCCCCCAGCCTGTATGGATACTGGGGGTTGCCCTCACCCAGGTGCAGGACCTTGCACTTGGCCTTGTTGAACCTCATGATGTTCACACAGGCCCACTTCTCAAGCTTGTCCAGGTCCCTCTGGATGACATCCCATCCCTCAGGTGTGTCAACTGCATCACTCAGCTTGGTGTCATCAAGAGGAGATGCAACACAGCTGTACAGATCTCCAAAACTCCCTCTGGTCAGACCTTTAGCTCCCTCATGAAGCACAGAAAAGCAGAAACACAGGGAGAAGGATCAAGGCATTTGATCACCATTTTGCAAGCGATCCCAGAACACAAAACAACATCACAGACTGGCAGGGGAATACTGACAGTTTATTTCACAGAGCATTGCAGAGTTTATTTTGGTCTAGCTCTATTTTCATCAAAAAAGTATCATCCTTTTTAAAAAAAAAAAAAAAAGAAAAAGAAGTGAATTGTGAAAACAACTCTTTGTTGGATTGCTTTTGACACTTCCAAGCTTTTAAGCACTTGACCTTTCAATAAAGTCATCTCCAAGGATAAAAACAGAACATGCAGGTGATTATCAACAGATGCTGAGATTTAACAACATCTCTCACTTGGCAATGACAGTCCACCAGGAATGTTTCAATACAGCACCACATTAAAAGGAGAAGCAACTTTGTTCTCAAAAGCCTTCAAATCCATCAAAATCCTGCAATTCTGCAGAAAAAACACACTGTGTTTCATGGACTTGAGAGAGTACCATATAGGAGGACAGTATTTGGGGAAGGTAAGAGGGAGCATGGACTAGGGTCTTATTCCACTTACATTCATAAAAACCCAGAGTAGAGGCAAAGGAATTAAAGTCTTGACTTGCACTGCTTAGAAGGTGCTTATTAAAGCACCACAATTCATATTTTCATGCATCACAATTCATATTTTCATTATCAATAGGGGTATTTTTCTGTTACATAGATAAGTTGACCACTTTTTGCCCCCAATTCTTACACCCTAAGACCAAGACTTCGGGGTTTCAAAATGCTACTGGAGTACAGCTTAAGAAAAATAGAGCAGTTCAGTGCTGCCAAAACAAGAGCAAACTGCTTGAGGTGGTTTTTAGCATGGCTTATTTCTGGCCTTTCCAAACCTGCTTTGCATGTCAGATGTGATGCACATCAACATCCCCCAGACCACCTTCTCCTCTGCAAGGTGACTTCTCCCAGCCACACACAGGCTCTACAGCCCAGCTTGGCCAGCACCTGAAGACTCAGCCTCAGCTCCCATTCCCTCCGTGGTAAACAACTTTGATGGTCCCTCACTTTCAAGGCAGTGCACACCAAGCTTCAAAGGAAGCTCGCACTCAATGGGATTTCTCACGTTGCATGTTGTGTCGACCAAGATCCAGCAAGGAAGGAAGCAACCCAACACCAGAAGGCCACGGGGACTGAGCCAAGACCCATTCACAGCTCCGGCAGCCTTCCGGCTGGCTTCAGCTGCCTTGGGAACAGGCTCCATGCGAAAGCAAAGTGACCCAAAAACAGGCTCCTCTCCACAAGGCCTTGAAGGTCAAGAGCAGAGAGCTGAGACTGCCCTTGGGCTGGCTGTGAGCCCATTCAGGGAGGGAATAAAATTCAACTGTCATCTACTCTGTTTCTGAGCTTTTTTTTTTTTTCCTTTTAACCTCCAGTCTAGGATTTTGGTTTAAAGCCTTTTGCATTGGAAACACGCTGATGAGAGCTCTTGCCTTCATGAGCCTGTCAGCATCTGCTGCAAGACCATCACTCCTTTGGAGGATACGAACATGCAGCTTTAAAGATCCTGCTTTTAAAGCAAGGAGGAAAGGTCTCCTTGCAGGAATAAATTATACTCTGGGGCTGCTTCACCTTCCAAACTATTTACAACTCCTTCACCCGTGGGCATCTCCTTGGCCCAGAGAGGGGGAAGCTCACACTGCACCACCACCTCCTTTTCCTACACAGGTGCAAGGACAGGGAAGCAAGGAGCGACTGCAAATGCCACTTGGAGTGGCAGGCACTTTAGCCAGATCTGAGCGGTGATGGTGCCCATGGCATTGCTTTTTGCAAGCCATTCAGGCTCCTGACAGAGCCCAACTCAGGGAGAAGATAGAACGAAAAAAGGGAAAAATAATAAAAAGTGAAAGTATTTCTGCCAGCAGAGGCCAATCTACAGCCAACGCTCAGGATTTGCCTTCAAGACTGTGGCAGGGCATTTCAAGAAGGCCACTCCCCTGTGAGCATGCAGGCTTTGGGGAAGGAGGATGGGACAGGGAGAAGATGCCCAAGTGACTGAGCCAGTGCAACCCCTTCCCTGGCTCTGAACTTCAGCAGGGAAGAGCAGTGCTATCTCATCTCCTCTCCTAAGAAAGCTTCTCTCCTCCAAACAGCCTCCTGTTGCATTAGAGCTAGAACTTCATTGCCCAGGAAAGTGGGAAAGGAGAGGGGGACAAAAAAAAAAAAACAAAACCCAACATAAAAACAACACTTCACAAGAACTTCACAACATTCATCTACACAGTCGCTGCACCAAGAAAAGGAGTGGAGCAGGGCAAGGGGGAGAAAGGGGAGACACGTCCAACGTGTTTTTCCCAGAACGCCCCAAGGGGACTCAGGCTGTCACATCAAGATTCAAATAACTTCAGCCATCAGGTCGAGGATTTAATAAACACGGTATTTCCATTCATGCCCTGGAAAAAATTACACTCAAAAAAAGAGAGACAAAAAATTTCAGATTTTCTACATATTCACAAAAATAAGGCCCCCAACCTCACAACCGGGGAGGTGGAGCAGCCAGTGATTGGGTTGTGGGAAGGGGTCTCTGCCCGACCAGCAGTTCCTCAAAGGTTCCCATCCCACAACAAGCAGGAGAGCACGGCTCTCGCTGCTGGAGCGAACGCAGGGGCGGCCACACGCCAGGGCTGGGTTGGAGCCCCTCAGTTCATCCGCAGCTTGGTGCCCCGATGATCTGTGGGGGTGACCATCTCGTTGGCATAGCCATTCTCGGAGCAGAGAGACAGCTCGTCCGTGGTCTCCACGCCATTGTTGATCTCTGGGGAGGGTAGAGAAGGGGGAGACATTGTCACAGGGGTACAAGTCCCAGGAGCCCACCATGGATGGGGAAACTGGGGCACTGAGTAGCCATGCAATTCCACCACATGGGATCCATCTGATCCTATGGGGATTTCACCTTGGATTTAGTATAACTGCACCCATTTAAAACCACTTCTGAACAGGATCTGCCTCCAAGTAGGAGCTCACCTCTCAGTTTCAGACCTTGACAATCCTGCCTCCACCAGAGGTGAAGCTGGACACCACCCCCATACACACGATGCCATGCCACAGGCTGAATTAGTTACCTGTGGGAGAAGGGTGCAAAATACCTGAACTTAATCTCTACCCAAATGCCCATTCTGGAAAAGGGGAGACCCTGGTTTAATATAGTCTGGTATGGTCACTGGTTTCACTAGGAAAAATGTGCAACCACCAATGTTTTAATTGTAAACACCCACCCGAAGCAAGAACATTTGTTTCGGAGGCACAAAACTTTAATATATATCCCCTACCTCTAAGGATATTTTATGTCTAGGGCATTTTATGTCTAGAACACATTGGGGAGGCTTAATTCTGATGTGACCAAATCTTTCCCTCTCTGAATTCCTTGGATTTACACCTGATTTTCAGCACCTCTGGAGGGCAGAATCAGGCCTGCATTTCACACAATAAGCTCTTTGAAGCAAGAGTTTTCTTTTTGCTGTGTGTGCACCCAGTACAATAAACCCTGATCCCTGCTGGAGATCTCTAGCCCCTAAATGCAAAGAAAGACAACCCATAACAAAGCTCAAGGGGAGATTATATTCACATTCCTTCAAATGTGAGTTTTCCAGCTTCATACACCAACTTTAATCTTTAAAAGCTAAATGTTTCCCTCTTTGTATGCATTTCTGACATCTTTCATAGAGGTGGGGTGAGATGTTCCAACACAAATAAATGCTGGGAGGAGCACAAGGATATCAAGAACCCCTCAATATACAGGGCCATGGAATTCCAGGTCTACCCCAAACTCCTCACTACTATTTGTAGTGACCTATGCCATTATTTTAATGGGTTTTATAGCTTTTGACACAGTGTTGACAATTCAGAGAGGAGATGATGTGGGACTGTATGAGAGCTGCATGGTATAACTTGGGAAGATTAAACGCAGGATTTTTGAGCAAATTTGTGCTCAGACCTGCACCAGTTTGGGATGGATGAGCTATGACCATATCCCACAAGTGGTTCAGTGCAGCAAGGGCAGTCATAGAATCATTTATGTTGGAAAAGATGTTTAAGATCATCAAGACCAACTATTAACAGAGCACTGCCAATCCCACCTCTGAACCACATCCCTAAGCACCACATCTCCCCGGCTTTTAAATCCCTCCAGGGATGGGTACTCAGCCCCTGCCCTGGGCAGCCTGGGCCAGGGCCTGACAGCCCTTTGGGGAAGAAGGTTTTCCTAGTATCCAACCCAAACCTGCCCTGGCACAGCTTGAGGCCGTTCCCTCTCATCCCATCGCTTGTTCCTGGGGAGAAGAGACCGACCCCCCCGGCTCCAGCCTTCTTTCAGGCCGTTGCAGAGAGTGATGAGGGCTCCCCTCAGCCTCCTCTTCTCCAGGCTGAGCACCCCCAGCCGCTCCTCCCCAGCCTTGGGCTCCAGCCCCTGCCCCAGCCTCGCTGCCCTGCTCTGGCCACGCTCCAGCCCCTCCATGGCCGCCTTGGGGTGAGGGGCCCAGCGCTGAGCACAGCATTCGAGGGGCGGCCTCACCAGTGCCCAGCACAGGGGGACCATCCCTGCCCTGCTCCTGCTGGCCACACTAGTCCTGATACAAGCCAGGATGCCACTGGCCCTCTTGGCCACCTGGGCACACTGCTGGCTCATGTTCAGGCAGCTGTCAACCAACACCCCCAGGTCCTTTTCCACCAGGCAGCTCTCCAGCTGCTCTTCCCCAAGCCTGTAGCATTGCCTGGGGTTGTTGTGCCCCCAGTGCAGGACCCAGCCCTGAGCCTTGCTGACCCTCACACAGTTGGCCTTGGCCCATTGATCCATCCTGTCCAGATCCCTCTGCAGAGCCTTCAAACAGCAATCAACGCTCCCGCCCAACTTGGTGTCATCTTCAAGCTTACTGAGGGTGCACTCAATCCCCTCATCCAGATCGTTGATAAAGATATTAAACAGAACAGTCCAGCCACCCTGTCCCACCAGCAGATGACAACACCCATATCAAGGGCACCTCCTCGATCAGCAGAGAGCAGGGTGACAGCTGAGGGATGGAGCAAAAGGCTCTGACTGACCAGCCCCATCCGTACCTGAGAAGATCAGCTTCTCCTTCATGATCTTGACATCCCGGCTGGACCGGCGGACAGCAGCACTGAGCATGATCTGCTCCGGGTTGTAGGTCCTGATGCTTCCTAGGCGCCACCTGCAAGACAAGAGGGGGATATCAGGGGCTGGTCTCCCCAGTCATGGGAGCATCCTCAATGCAAGTGGCCACCAACAACGTGGAGACCAACAAGTACCAGAGACCCTCATGTCTTTGCTCCCTTGCACCTACGCAACCCCGCACGGTAGGAGGATGTTCAGAGATGCGCATGTTATCTCAGAGGGGTACAGGCATACAAGCGGGTCATCTTTAACCACCTTGAGCATCCTAATTCCACTAATTTCACCAAGGACTGCAGGTGCCCCAAACCCCTCTCTATCACATCAGCTATCCAGCTGCCCAAAGGAGGTAAGACTATTTTGACTCTTAGGGTTGGAAAGAGGGAATAGAACAAGAGACTAAGCCAAGTAAAGAAACCATAACCTTCTCCTCACTGAGTGGCATGCTCACGCCTGTGGGAGAAGAGAGCTCAAGGACAATTTAAGGTCTCAAACCTGAGACACAGCAAAGACATCGACATGAGCTGCTCTGCAGGAAAGTACAAGTCGTCCCAATGCAGGTAGCTGTCACATACAGTGCCCCTACATGTAACCTCTCAGTGCATGTCCCTCCCCAAATGCCAGGTCTTTACTTAAATGTTACTACACAACCCCTTCACTTTTTAAGCCTTGATGAAATTCAGCGTTCACCAAAAGTTTCCACCACATGAACAATAAAAGGCTGATAGGAACTTGGCTCAACTTAAAATTATCCAGACTTTTATTCTCATTACTGAATGCATGTAAAGAAAAGTACTGATGTTAATAATAAGCAGTGGCAGCAAATTCAAGGGGGAATTTTGCTCTTAAAGCTGTTTTAGGGGAAAACAGGGCTTGGTGGGCTCAGATAAAGCAGCCGTACCCAAGATCCCATTGCAAAGGGATGCTGTTTAGGCCAGGCTTTCACAGTCCACACCCCACCGATTCGTCCTACCTCCTGACCACAGAGAAAGGCTTTCAAGCAAATCCCATTCTCCCTGCCGGAGCCAGGGATGCTATAAGGCTATATGACGGAGAAAGAGCAGTGATTTAGGGTGGTTTATGGGGTTTCTGATCTTCTGGCACCATCTAGTGGCTCACTCACGCCAAAGAACGCGATTTTTTTTTTTTTTTCTTCACCTTCTCTTAAATTTCTAACCCCCTACCCAGCCCCAGGACCGGAGGATTTGAGGAGCCCCACACATCTCCAGCCTGGGTCCACAGCATCAGCCTGACAGAGCAACAGCCACAAAAGAGGTTCTGCAATTTTTCCAGGAAAATCTAACTGGTGTTGATTTCATGGGGTTTCCATCCCCTTCCCAAATTACAGTGGGTGACACCACACCATCAGGCTTTGACCGGGGTATGGATGAAGGCAGATGCTCTGCTACAGAGAAAAGAAGGGGTGAGATGGCAACACGACACAACTCACAGACCCATGGACAGAAGCAACACAGAGGAAGCACAAGGAGTCAAAGGCATTAAAGTATAAAAAAAAATTAAAAATAAAAAACATTTTTTCTTCTACCATCGTCATCTAAGCTGAGCCACTCTGACCTGGAAGACAATCATTTTTGCCCTTGGTGTTCCATGCAGGCAGATCCCACTAAGGTCAATGTGGCTGCAAGTGCATAGGATCTCCCAGGATAAGACCCTCCTTAAACTATAATCAGGACCAAGACATATTGCTACAGCAAGTCTTTTCTTTGCCCACATCATCAGGATTTTCAGCATCAGGCTGGGTTGCGTGGCCAAAAGGCGTGATGATCTCTTGCCCATAGGTCCTAGACGTCCCATGGAGGGCATGGGCTATTTTGAGGCACAGACAGCCCAGCCTCAAAGGGGTGCATGGACCAAGGGCTTTTCTCCTCCTGCCAAGAGAAATGACCACTGCTCTCTGCTCCCCATCTTGCATGGTGGCTGCAGTCAGACCCAGGGTGGTTAAATATATGCACAAGGGGCTGATGACTCCTCTCACAGGGGTGCATTGCTCTGATTGAACAAGCTAAGAGAGGGTGACCCCATTTTTCAGGGGTAGTTTGAAATACCCTCTTAGAAAAGCCACCAGTACATTTAATTACAATGCAACTCCAACACCGAAATACTCTGTGCTGTGCTTAGTAGCCTTTGGGTCTCCAGAAAGCTTGTTTAATAGAAAATAGCACCTCTCCTACCCCCTCGGACTCTGTTGTGATCGGCCACGTTTAGGACAGCAGCGTGCAAAAAGGCCAGACAGACAGCAGGTAGGTCTTGGTCTGGGAGGTTGGCATCAAAGCGGACCAGACGGACACAGGGTGGGAACAGACTAAAAAATACTGGGACAACAACACAGAGACAGCATACACCATGTTAGGGCCACGACTGGACCCTTGGTTTGGAGGGGAGATGCTAAATGTAAGGGAAAAGGGATGGAAGAGGGGCAGGTTGGGGAGAAAACGGGGTTGATTGATACCGAGGTGATAAGATGGAGCAAGCAAAGAGCCAAGCCAGACGCAACCACAGAGTCCCCATCCTGCAACTTCTCTTGCCTAAAGCCTGCCCAACTCCTCCATGCCTGTCTTCTCCTTATCCACGAGCCAGGGAGCCAGGGGGAGGTGAGAAGGGGAAAACACCCAACTGCTCTGCACCCATCGAAGGGCTCAGCCCGGCCCCATAGCCGGGTCCTGTTTTGGGGGGATGCCACGAGGATGTAACGCCGCAAGTCCAAGGTACCTCGTGGAGCAGGCAATACTTGCAGGTGGCCAACCCCGACCCCCGCGGTGGCAGGTGGGCAGAGGGAGAGGGGCAGATAAGCACAGACAGGGAGTAGCCAAGTCCTCAGAAATACAACTCCACGGCACACAGCAGAAGGAATGGAAATGGTAACATGTGAAGAGTTTGGTCCAAGTATGGACAAGGTGAAGGCTTTACTGCAGAAAAGCGACAGCGCTTCCCTCCAAGGGGATGAGAATGACCTGTGAGCAAACAGCCAATACAAGGAGAAATCTGGGTTTCCAACTGATGGCACTTCAAATCCAGCATCACAGGCTCATTCCCTTCCTGGGTGCAATGCTATTTATTTTCACATTGCATTTCCCGTTTCACAGTGGTGCAACTGGGAAGAGACACTCGAAAGATCCCGAGTGCAGCAATTGATGAGTCAAACCTTTCCAGCTATTAGCCTTATGAATTCATTCCCAGAGCTAGAGAAGCACTACTTTATAAAATTGAACAGGTTACATTATTTTCTTTAGAACGGGCCAATTCAGAAGAGGTTGGTCTCAAAATCCTCTGGTAAATGCAGGAAGGAAGGGGATATTTTGCATGGCATTATTTCCATGGAGAAAGCATTACATCCACTTGGAATTTCTCAATTACAACACACTGCAGGACCTCTGAATAGGGCTGTTTTAAAAGGCAGCGACTTGGATCATTGTGACAGAAGGTCAGATTGCCTTCAAAACATCCACCGGCTTCAGCATCAGGCTCCCGTGGTGCTCATGGCTATGGACTATGCAATGTTCAGACCCTTATGGTCCCCCTGTGAAGCCAGATGTTTGAAAGCATCGTGAAAAACTGCATCCTGCCCTGTCCATCTGCAGTGAAGCCATAGCAGAGAGGGAGAAAGAAAGAGAGAAAGGAAGGTTGAATGAAAAAGAGAAAGAGGAGGAAAGCACCAGAATTACCTGATCATGTGATAGCTGTGAGATGCCAGAATGCAGCAGAGAGAGAAAGAGGAGGAACATGCACAACAGTCAGAGCAGTAAGAAAATAAACAAGGCAAAGAGGCAAAAAAAGATTGGTTAGAAGTCATCACAGTTGGTATTTCCCCTCTGGAGAGGCCGCCACGATCCTGTCACCAGGGCTGAAGCAAAACAGCAGGAGCAATCCCTGCCCGCGGCTACGGAGAAGAGACAAGCCATGCATAGGAGAGAGGACGAGCACATCGAAGCGGTGGCTCTGTTCCCACCCACCCCCTCATCCTTGCATGAAGGAAGCAGCTCTGTTTTGCCCCAAAAAGGACTTGGGGAAAAAAAAAACCAAACCCAAAACAAAACAAAAAACAACCACGACACTGAAGGCCAAATGCCAAACCCCATGTCCTGGAGCTGAATCACATCAGCAGGTAGTAGTTGGGCAATTTTGCTGTGATTTGTTTTTGATATATCCTCAACACTGCTACCGATGCTTTCATGTGGTGGAGAAACTGGAACGGCAGGGAAATGGGTCTCTCCTGCATGAGGCTCTTGGAAGAGCAAGCCCTTTGCGGCAAAAAGTCCAACTTCTGATGCTAGAGTTTCTCCTTCTTCCTTCTACTGACTTGGGGTTGAGTTGTCCCAAGGGAGGAATCCAAAAGACGACATTTGGCACTGCTACGATGGACCCACATGGCCAAACCTCTCTGAGCAACTGCCTTTCTATGCCAGGTCCAGAGGCTGGGCAGGGAGCTCAGTGCTCCAGGTTGATGGACGCTGGGGAAAGCTAGTGGCAGTTTCCAGCTCTTCTCACCTCTATCACACTTATACCAAGGGTGGAAGAAAAATCCTGCAATAATGCTTTCCTTCCTTACCCTGCTTTCTCTTGCCCTACTCCATCAAACCTCTTCCAAACTGGAAGAAATTCAGTCTGTGCAGAGAGGAAGAGTCCAGCTATTGCAAAGTCCACGTAGCTGTGACTTCTCCCTCTCCCAAGCATGTGTCTTTTCGCTCTGCTCTGGGACCTGTATTTCCCATTCAGCAGGTCGAATCAGTTCCATTTCTTCAGCTGTGGTCTTGTGGGTCTGATTCAGGAAAGCCTTCTAAAACTGACTTTGGGAGATGATGCAAAAGACTGCAACTATCGCATCAACTTGGCCTTCAAATTCTGCTCTTTAGAGAGGTCAGTCCCTGCCTCCAGACTCCTCCGTGCATTTCTGTATCTGACAAAGATGTACCAGGTCTCAAGAGCAGGGACATCTCTTACTAAACCAACTGACAAATTTGAGGGAGAGGAGGAAGCTTCCAGACAACACAGCCACAACGCTCTTCTGGAGGGAAGGTTTAATGGGCCACATTGCAGATCACAAGACTTCTTAGAAAAATTTTAATGTCATCTTGGTCAGTGGTTTCATTAACTGTTGGGAAATCTAATCTGAGAGGAGTTTTGAATCTGCTGCTCACTCCGTTATCCCATGCCGGAACTGGGGACCCGCTGGGCACGGGTCTACCAGCGTGGGACTGTGCAAGTCATGAATTTAGACACAATTATAAACAGACCCAACATGTCTGAAGTCAAATCCATAGCACGTGCTGGCAGGAGCAATAGCCTACTCTACCATGGCAAAAATACCCAGGTAGTTATGCACCCAGGGGAAGGAAAGAGATCACTGCAAGCAGATGATCTGGGACAATGCGACAGCAAAATCACTAGCTCATGAGGCTGAAGCAAATTAAACTGCTCCTCCTAATGCAAAGGCATTTCAGATATCAAGGAGGAAGGAAAGCATAGGTCCCCTGATGTCTCTAGGACAGTCATCCGTGCATGCCAAAGCAGTTGAGATTATAGAGCCAGGGGAAGAGGGGATGCAATCTCAGAATGACACATTTTCCCAGGAGAAGGCTGCTGCTTCTTGCTGGAGGGAGCGCATCCCTCTCTGAGCTTACGCTTTTTCCCAGAGAGGGTTATTACACTGTCATCACTGACAGCTAAAATGCCTCCTGGAAGAAAAGGCACATCACAGGGAGGACACCGTGGTTTCCTCCAGTATAATCAAGAGGAGGGTAACTTGGCCAGCTCTGCCATTAGGAAGTTGATTTACCTCCTCCTGATTTATCAGTGTCTTAACTTGCTCTGCTCCTAGGTTTTAAGCTCCACATTTGTTTTCAGGGACCCTGGCTAACAGAGAGGCTTGTGCCATGCCCTCATCAAATCCTTGCTCTCCCTTTTCTTTGGAAAATGGCGATACCTTCTCTACGCAAACTAAGCAACTGATTTGATTTGCTGAATCATAATACTTCTATTTCTTCATCCAAATGGGAACAAACTTATTTAAGAAAGCTATAACATGTTCTTTTTGAAGACTATAATGGTGGAATCTCAAAACATCTCCTCTTCCTCCCTTAAAGCATTTTAATCTCTTTCTTAACGTCCATTTCCCTAATGCATTTACAGTTTCTCTCCCACATGCATTTATGAGCAGAGCAAGGCATCTGTCACTACTATTGTAAGATCTCTCATTCTTCTTAAAAAGTAGCAACTACATCCAATTCAATGTCACATCTCAGAAGTGGAATTATTGTTTACAGTCTTTGTAGGGATTTTTAATGAACAGTCTCCCTGCTATTGCAATCCAAGCACCTGAGGAGCATGGTGCTCCTCTCTCCCATCTTCACCCCATGCTCCGAACAAAACCACGCGCCACAAATACATGAGAGTCAAGCTGTAACAATGCTACTTACTTCTGGAATATAAAAACTCCTACAATTACGATAAATGAAATGAGATCAGACGTGATCCAGATTAGGTGGTACTCATCTGGTGGCTGGAAGACAAAAAACAAAAGCAGACCTTAAACTTTCTGGTTTGTACAAATCACAGACCACACATTGCTGAAGTTACCACCAGGGCAGTAAGAAAAGCACAGAGCTGCAGGGGTCGCATATAAATCACATTGTTTATGACATTTCTAATGCTAGCCTGTCATCCAAAATGACGTTATCCGGAAAAACTGCAAACAGGAAAAACTTAAAACTCTCCCTCCTTTCGTGTGCTGACATTTTCTCAGAGCTTTGTGCGCTGAAAGTTTCCTGTCTCAGCTGTACCTCGAGGTGAGGGTAAGATGCTGTTTGGAAATCCAAATCTGTGGGAAAACACAGAAATATATACATGTTGCACATGAGACATGCAAGGTCTATTTTGAGTGCTAATGTCAGCTGTTCTGCACAGTCCCCATGCATATACTTCTCAATTTTTGTCCTTTAAGGCACTGGTAGCTCTGGCTTCATTTGCCAGTCTAAGTGACCAGCTAAACCCATCGTCTGAATCCAGCACAGAAGAACATGACTTCACATTGATTTTTGTACTGCCCAGGAAAAAGCAGCACTAGTAAAGACAAGAAAGTAAAGTGATAATAATAATAATAATCAACTCCCAATGATGCTCAGAAGGCACCTACCCAGGACAGCCACCAGTGATGCTAATGAATTTCTCCTATCCCAAACCTGAACTAGTCCCAGCCAGGAAAAGATTGCTGATTTCATACCAGACAGATCCATCACAACCATCATTAAGGCACACAAGTAATATTTCATTAGAGAAACACAACACATAACACATAAAGATGAGTTCACGCAATGGTAGTGTGACATGGATAAAACCAGTTGGGAGTCATCAACTCTGCCACCTCTGTCTCCCAGCAGAGAACAACTTGTTTTTCTGCTCAGTGAATCTTTGTGTGTCTCAATTTATCCTGTGAAGGTCTACCACAGAATTAGCAGGGCAATGCTTTAATTAGCCAATGCTTCTGATGGAGATTTAAGCCTTGCATTTTCCAGCTTAATTACAGAAGGGTGACATTTCATGTTACATTTGCTGCATCTGTTCTTTGTTTTTCCTTTTATTTAACTGAAACACAACTTAAATGTATTTTTGCAATTGCAAATGGCCCCTGGGTGAATGGAGCAGACCAGATTTGCACTGTTCAGCTGACGATAAGGCCCGACGAAGCTCCTGAGGGCACTGGGCAGCCAAAGCCTGGCAGAAACAACCATTTTGCTCCAGCTCCCGAGCCATGTTCCACATTGCAGAGGGGGCTCAGATGGCAAAGCCGGTTAGATCACATCACCCAGCCACTTCAACATGCAGGAAATCAAGGGATTTTTATGCTGCCAGTGATAGAAGAGTGTGCACTCACAGCAGAGCTGGAAATCCAGCAGATGGGAGAGCTTGGGGGATACTTGGAAGAGGTCTCCAAGTATCAGCTGCTTTTCATCGCTGGCAAAGGGGCTTTTGGAGTAAAAAGCTGCCAGTGATGTGCACACAACTCCTGCCAGCTGTAGTGGAGGACAGATGCTTGCAGCAGCACAATTCAGATGACAATAATCTCTTCTGCCAACAGATTCAGCCTTTATAAAACCATTTTCAATCTTCCAGCTTCTGCACGCACCAGTGTGGATTTGTGTAGTCAGACACAAGCAGTAGGTTAAGCTAAGGCTAAGGACATCGTGCACAGATGTTCATCCATCTAGGCAGTAGTTTTGAGGTCCTACCTCCAGTTAAAGATGCAGATAATTCATTAATGTTAACTTTTCCTTGTGCTCATCTTATTCTTCCCTTTGCCAAGCAAATCTGCCAAAGCAGCAGGTAAAACAGCTGCCTCCTGTCCTACCCCTGACAGATCTGTCAGAAAATAGCCTCACATCACATCACATGCACTTGCACCTCCGCAGCCTAACTCTTGTTTTGGGAATACTTTGATGCAACTATTTCATCATTTTCCCTTGACTCCAACATGAATATTTCTGTTTGGTTCAGAGACCGAAAGTGCTAGTGGAGTTTTCAGAGAGTTTACTGGCTAACATGACAGGTAAGGGGGGGCTACCTGTGGTCTCTGATTGTTCCTTGTCCAGCAATGGAGTAGCCAGAGGTAACACTTGTCCTCATTTGGTATTAAAAATAGGCAAAAAGCTAGTTTTGAAGCCTGACTGAAACATAGAAGCCAGGTTTGCTGGTTCACCTGTGTGCCTGATTCTGCTGCAAAACTAACAGCTGCTCAGCAGGTCTGGAAAGGTGTTTTTCCATCAGAGGAAAATGGAAAAATCATGTGGGTTAAATGGGGCATGCAACACAATCTCCAAGGCTCCCAGACCCTGTATGGGGAGAGATGAGGCCATCTGAAGGAAGGGATTGCACAAGAAGAGGGCTTAAGCATAGAGATGGTGAAAACCCTCAAGCCCAATAGCACGTTGAACCCAACCAAACCTTCCTGAAGAAACCCACTAGACATGTGGCTGCAGTGGTCAACGGCCACCTCTACACCCTTTCACTGCATCCCCTCCTTCCAGGGGTTCACAGCAGCTTCCCAGGCGTTGTGCTTACCATTAGCCAGATAGGAAAAGGCACCTTGCGAAGGACATGGGAGCTGTCGGAGGTGACCGACTGGACACCAGCGCACCACAGGATGGAGTATAGCCAAGGCTCATTCACAGTGTAGAGATTCACGCTCAGGTTCGCCATGGTGTAGTCCCTGCCAGAAGACAGACAGGATGAGACGCGAGTCCCCCAGCAAACATCAGACCCTCATCTCCAAGAGGAGAGGTCTTGCCATCAGCCACCGCTGTAATCACAGCTAGATCTATTGGGTTTGAATTGCATGAAATAGGTTTTTTAACAGGGCACGGTCACTTCATAAGCAACCCAAGGGCATTGCAATCAAATGGTTTGACCTTTAAACCTTTCTTCGCCTCTAGGATGCTATCTGACCCAGGCCACAGCCCATCTCAGATACTTCCTCACAAATGATGGGCACGTCATGTTTTTCTAACCACCACCTCATCATGTTGATGTAAAATTAACATCTGGCTCAGATGCCTGTAACACTTCATAGGCAATTTACTTAATTAAAAACTGACAGACTGCATTTCCAACATCAATTCCTACAACTCCCATGCCCTTGTTTTGGGGACAGTCACAGAGTTACAGCTTCCAGTGTCCTGAGGTCATTTTCCAAGAAGCTAAAACTGCAAGCTGGGCTACAGGGGCCGTCAGCAGCAAACCAAGCACTGATAGTAGACTCCCTGTACCCATACAATTTGCATAAATTGCTCTGTTTCCTTTTCTACAAAGCAGAAACATCACTAATCTCCCTTGCATGGGCAGCACAGAGATTAATCCTTGCAATTCAATATCAGCAAAGCACTTTGAGGTGGAAGGCCACTGTACAAGATGCAGATGACTCAAAGCCCACAACATGATCAAGCCGCTCCAAAGGCTAGGGGATTCTCAAGGGTAGAGGTGGTCAGAGCAATGTTACATCCAGATACTGATTTTTGGGGGGACTGAGGAAATTGTGTTATACCAGCGCTTGTTCAGCCTGCTCTGTCTCGTGCTGCAGGACTGCAGCAACATTTGACTGGGCACCACAAGGCCTTCAGGGTTCAAGAAACACTAAGGTGGCAGGTCTGATTTTGGAAACAGCTGAGGTGTGACAGCTGACAAGAGATTGGGACTGATGAACTGGGATAGATGAGAGAGTTGTCATACGGTCCTCTCCATGAGACAGAGCAAATAGGTAGGGGAAAAACAGGCAGAAATTATCCTGCAGGTAAAGCACAGACTTGGTTTTAAGGGTGAGCAACTCGACCGATTGCCGGCAGCCACAGAAAGACACCACTGGATTACGCTAAATAGGACCACGCTCTCAAACAGCTGCAGGCTCAGCTCTTCTCTACTTCCAGCCCAAACGTACAGTAAGACAGCTCCTTTGAAGATATTTTTCTTCTGCAAACCTGTTTCATTTTCAAGTATTTCTTTGGGAAAAAAATTTAAACTCTAAAAAATAGAAAAGCTCTACTAGAGACAATCTGCCCTTTCCGAGACAAGGGCAAAGCTGGTAGCTAACACGCTGCACGGTTCAAATACAGGCTCACGCAGAAGGAGAGGAACCCCACGCTGCCAATCTCATTAAAGAGGAGACCTGACCTGTCTAAACAGCTGACAAAGGATAATAATGAATTGGGTGAATTTTCTGCAAAGAGAAATTTCTGAAAGCATATCCAGACTTTGGACTAATCAAAATTCTGTGGTAGCAACTCTGGAGCAGAGGAACAGAAGCAAAGGGCAGCTGCTAATGAGGATGAAACAGCACTTAGAGGTACTTGGTGTGAAAGCCTTCACTTTTTCCAGAGCTGACAGTGTAATAAGAATCAGCCGATTCATATATTTGTATCTCAAAAAGAACCATCATATACTGAATTAGCATGTAGAGCTTATTAGAGTCAGCTGTGCGCTCCTGAGAACAGCCTGGATTCTGGGTGATGGGTAGGGACAAGCTTGCACAGCTCAAGCTTCCAAGAGAGTCCACCTGAAAAGATAACTCTGTGCAGATAACAGAGCCTGGGATGATCAAAAAAGATGCTGCTGAGCCAGGGACGCACACAGGGCATGTGTTTAGCAAGGATGCAGAGAGCTGTGGACACCTGCCACGGAGCATGGGCTGTCACGCAGCGCCCAAACAGAAGGCTGTACCTGACATCCTCGTTCGTGACCTTGGTGTAACGCAGGTTGAGCTTCACAATGCCCTTCTCCCTCATGCGCTCTGCGTCCAGCTTGAGGCCAGAAGTCTGCTGGAAACCCGGCGCAATCTGTCTGACCAGCTGCCTCTCCGTGTCCGGCAGCCACATCACCTGTGGAGGGATCGAGACAGAAGACAGCTATGGCAAAGACTGTTCACAAAGCTGGTGACACAAGACAGCTAGTTTACACCAAGCCAGAAGCAAAATCACATGAGAGACTGCCTCGTTTGTCATACAAATTGTCTAGGAGACACTAACGGCCTCCCACATCTTTATTCAAATGCATTTCAGGATTGTTCGCAAGCCCAGAGGACTATAAGGCACAAAATCATAGAGGTGAAAAGGGTTGAGATACAAAGGGATCAGGCCAAGGGCTCACGAGAAGATACCTGGTATATTCTTGAAAACCCGTCCTCCCTGCCCAGTTCAGGGCACAGAGAGAACTGAGGACAAAACTAACAGTGCAGGCAAGATGCACAGGAGAAGCCTCTCATGATCCCACGGATAAGACTAATTTTAATCACCCTCTTATCAGGGCTACATTTACTCCAACCCAGGGCAAGGATTTCTCTAAGTTCATATCACATTTTAAAAGCGTGTCAAATTAATTAGTGTTAACATGTTCAGCTACTAGATGTAAAGTGGATGCAGGAACCCAGCTGAGCAGTTTTATGGCTTGTGCCATGCAGAGGCTGGGCTCAACCAGATGATCTCAGCAGTACCACTGGGCATTGCATTGCTTTAACCCATGTTTAATAACTCAGTGACACCCATCTACCAAAGCACCGGAGCAGCATAGAGGGTAGGAAGTCTCTGCAGAGGGATCTGGACAGGCTGGATCAATGGGCCCAGGCCAACTGGGTGAGGGTCAACAAGGCTCAGGGCCGGGTCCTGCACTGGGGGCACAACCACCCCAGGCACCACTGCAGGTGTGGGGAGGAGCGGCTGGAGAGCTGTCTGGTGGAAAAGGACCTGGGGGTGTTGGTTGACAGCCGCCTGAACATGAGCCAGCAGTGTGCCCAGGTGGCCAAGAGGGCCAATGGCATCCTGGCTTGTATCAGGAACAGTGTGGCCAGCAGGAGCAGGGCAGGGATGGTCCCCCTGTGCTGGGCACTGGTGAGGCCGCCCCTCGAATGCTGTGCTCAGCGCTGGGCCCCTCACCCCAAGGCGGCCATGGAGGGGCTGGAGCGTGGCCAGAGCAGAGCTGGGGGGGCTCAGCCTGGAGAAGAGGAGGCTGAGGGGAGCCCTCATCGCTCTCTGCAACTGCCTGAAAGGAGGCTGGAGCCGGGGGGGTTCAGTCTCTTCTCCCCAGGAACAAGCGATGGGACGAGAGGGAACGGCCTCAAGCTGCGCCAGGGCAGGGTTAGGTTGGATATTAGGAAAAATTTCTTCACGGTGAGAGTGGTCAGGCACTGGAACAGACTGCCCAGGGCAGTGGTGCAATCACAGTCCCTGGGACTGTTCAAAACACTTGTGAATGTGGTGCTTAGGGACATGGTTTAGAGGTAGATCAGGCAGTTAGGTTAACGGTTGGACTCGATCTCAGAGGTCCTTTCCAACCTTAACACTTCTATGATTCTATGCAGCCATACGCATTTTCAATAGGGAACCATAAAACCAGGGTGAGAAATATCACTTTACAACCCCACATCTATGTTTTGCCTATTTTTCTCCTGCTCTCCATTCCAATATCCAAGGAGAAGACAGCATGGTCCTCCTTTGGATCTAGCCAAACTGGCAGAGGCTTGTGGATAACACTGTCACTGCAGCCACATAGTTAACTGGAAATTGGGTGGCAGTGTCAGTCATTAGAAAGACAGATGGAAGTTAAAAATAGTTCTGTTCCCTCCTGGGCCCATCGCTGCACAAGTCAGTGATGAACTTGTCTGTGCATGCAGATGCACCTAATTGGTACAGATGAAATATATGAACTGCCAGTGATGTAGTAATTTCACTTGCCAGCCTCACTACGCTGTTTTTAACCAGTTCATATTCAAGAGAAAGCAGAAGACAAGTGAAAGGACCAGATTTCCTTCCCTAGACAGGTCAAGAAGAGAAGTTTTCCAAGGGACACCCAGAGTCCCCAGGTCTGGGTGCCCTTCTGACACATGGGAAGTGGTGCTCGCCCTCCAGAAGAGATCACTGCATCAGAGGTAGCTCCTGACGGGCTGGGTGAAGCTCTACACCTTGTGGGCAGAGAGGACACAGCTAACAAGGCTGGCTGGGCTCTGCTTGCAACTGCTCAGAGCTGGAAATTAAAATGTTTGGCATAAGCCAGCAAGAACAATTCTGGGGCAGAAATGAAAGTCTGGAAGAGGATCTCTGCAGATACATTGACCTCCTTTTGCTAAAGAACCCTCAGTTCCAGGACACCCATTTCTTGTCCAAGCAGAAGCTGACTCTAGGCTGAAACAGTTGCTCAGCCAAGAGAGAAGGATTATTGTGTTGCGTTTGCATGCCAAGGTTTTGGTAGCCAGGGGGCTACAGGGGTGCCTTCTGTGAGAAGCTGCTAGAAGATTCCCCTGTGTCCGATGGAGCCAATGCCAGCCGGCCTGGCTAAAAGATGGACCCGCGGCTGGCCAAAGCTGAGCCAATCAGCAACAGTGGTAGTGCCTCTGTGATAATGTATTTAAGAAGGGGGGAAAAAAACTGTGCAATTGCAGCCGGAGAGAGGAGTGGGAATATGTGAGAGGAACAATTCTGCAGACACCAAGGTCAGTGAAGAAGGAGGGAGAGGAGGTGCTTCCAGGCACCAGAGCAGAGATTCCCCTGCAGCCCATGGGGAAGACCATGGTGAGGCAAGTCTGTCCCTCTGCAGCCCATGGAGGTCCACGGTGGAGCAGAGATCCACCTGCAGCCCATGGAGGACCCCACACCGGAGCAGGTGGATGCCCGAAGGAGGCTGTGACCCCATGGGAAGCCCACGCTGGAGCAGGCTCCTGGCAGGACCTGTGGACCCATGGAGAGAGGAGCCCACGCTGTAGCAGGTTTGCTGGCAGGACTTGTGACCCCACGGGGGACCCACGCTGGAGCAGTTTGTGAAGAACTGCAGCCTGTGAGAAGGACTCACATTAGAGAAGTTCACGGAGGATTGTCTCCCATGGGAGGGACCCCACACTGGAGCAGGGGAAGAGGGCGAGGAGTCCTCCCCCTGAGGAGGAAGGAGCGGCAGAGACATGTGATGAGCTGGTCGCAACCCCCATTCCCCATCCTGCTGCACTGCTCAGGGGGAGGAGGTGGAGAAATCGGGAGTGGAGTTAAGCCCAGGAAGAAGGGAAGGGTGGGGGAAAGATGTTTTAAGATTTAGTCTTTATTTCTCATTATCCTACTCTGATTTGATTGGTAATAAATTAAATTAATTTTCCCCAAGTTGAGTCTGTTTTGCCTGTGATGGTAATAATAGAATCATAGATATTTTTAGGTTGGAAAAGACCTTTAAGATCAAGTCCAACCACTAGCTTAGCACTGCCACGTCCACCACTAAACCATGTCCCTAAGCACCACATCTACACGTCTTTTAAATCCCTCCAGGGACAGGGACTCCACCACTTCCCTGGGCAGCCTCCTCCAGTGCCTGACAACCCTTTCTGTGAAGAAATTTTTCCTAATATCCAACCTAATATCCTAAACCTGCCCTGGCACAACTTGAGGCCATTTCCTCTTGTCCTATCACTTGTTACTTGGGAGAACAGACTGACCCCCACCCAATTGTTGAATGATCTCTCCCTGTCCTTATATCAACCCATGAGCTTTTCATTATATTTTCTCTCTCCCATCCAGCTGAGGAGGGGAGTGATGGAGCGGCTTTGGTGGGTACCTGGCATCCAGCCAGGGTCAACCCACCAAAATTATTTAAATCTAAGGAATCGGAGGGAGAACGGCTCCCTGCTGCTCGGAACTGGCCTCCAGGTCTCAGCCTCTTCTCCTGTGTCCAAGGCTCTTATTGAATCACTTGGTGGGAAGACACCTCAGGAGATCTCTACTCCAACACAAACTAGGGCCAGCACTGATTTCAGATCAGTTTGCTCAGGGCTTTGTCTAGTTGAGTTTTGAAAAGCTCCGAGGATGGAGATCCCTCAGTCTTCCCGGGCCTGTCTCAACACTTGCCTGCCCTCACAGGGAAAACTAGTTTCCTTATATCCAGCAGGAACCTCTCCTGTTTCAATTTATGACCACTGTCTCCCATCATCCTGACATGCAGTTCAGTGAAGAGCTTTGTTCCAACTTCTCAATGACCTCCTTGCCAGGACTGGGGAGACCTAACAGTAGCTCTCCAAAGTCTTTCCTTTTCCAGGATGAAGAGACTCAGTTCCCTCAGCCCCTCCTCATATGTTCAGCCCTCTAACCAGTTTGGTGGCCTCTGCAGGACTTGCCCCAGTTTATCAACATCTGTCTTGTACTGGTGAGTCCCACACTGAACACAGGATTGCTGAGTAAGGGGAATAATCACTTTCCTCCATCTACTAGCTATACCACCATGAGTACTGTCCAAAATGCTATCAAGCCTCTGGGACCACCAGCCTGGAGGCACAGTCCTCCCCAGCATGACTTCTTGGCATGAAGCGGCATTTCAAATCAAGCGTTCAAATGGATCAAACAAGACACTCAAGGATTCGGGGAACCTGTAAGGAAGGCAATTTTGGAAACATCACCAACCCCACAGAACTCACAGCCTGTTGCTGAATTCCCGATGCCAGGATGGTTTCCAGGGTGATGTTGATGTAAGTGCTGTAGTAAGGATGAGCTGGTGGCAGGTCCTGGAAGTTCAGGATGAGCGATGTGTTGTCCTTGATCGCCTCTAGCATATCTGCCAGCTTGCAGACTGACTGGTTGGCAGCTTCCAAGTAGTCAGACCTTGAGAGAGACCCAGCTGTCCAGAAAGGGTCATTCTGGAAGCAAAGCACATCATGACATTAGTGCCAAAGCCCCGACTTCTCCAATACAGGTGAAGACCCTTTTCTATCCCACCTTGGCAACAGCTGACAGCTACACTTGATGACCATCTTGCAGCTTGCTGAAGCTCCGTGCCTCAGTTTCCTTACCCAAAGGGAGGTCACTAAAAGCAAGGTGGGCTGGACAGGTCACCCCATTTTCAGGGGGACAGCACAGCTATAAGGTAGTAATGTAATTTTCCAAGGTAGCAAGCTAAAAATATACTTTCTCACACTGCATGATCACCAAGGATTCTTCAGAATCCAAAAATAAAAAGGATCAGCTATTATGTAACTAAGAGTGATCAGACAGGAGCTATGGGCTGTTGGAAGAGACAGGCTCCTGACTTAAGGACATTCAGGAATGACTCTGCTTCAAAGTACATCCCAAAAAGGAGCCTTCCAGCTGCTGTCTTGGCCCTTCTCATCTGGCAAGCAGCAGTTTTCCCTGCATTCCCACTCCCACAACCACATCTGCAGTCCAACCAAGTTTCTGTGCAGCACATGCAGCTGTAATACATAGACATCCCCATCACACCTCCAGACCAGCTCAGACCAGAATGGTAGTGAAGCTACGGTGGTTTCACACTTCCACCAAACAAGCACACAGAGAGCTCCAAGCAGGCATGTAAAAGTGGTATTTCAGCTTGCATCACTGCATCGATGCCTCAGCAAGCCACGTTCAAGCTTGCATGAGTGTGCCAGAGTGCTGCAGCCCTCCTTCCAGACCACAGCTAATGCTCTCCAAGAAGATTACAGCCACTGGCCAGAGAGCAGCTTGGCAAAAAGAAATCCAGCCTGCAACCTGGCTGCACACCAAAGGATGGGTCAAGTCCATCCCACAGCAATTCTTCCCCCCCCAGACTTCAAAGGCTGAATTTCTTGCTTTTTCTTTGTAAAGACAATTGTCTCCAAAAGTAAATTACAGAAAAAGGTACAGCATATAACACGCTGTCTTTTCTGTTCTCTTTATAACCACATTCCCCCTCCTGGGGGTCTTGAAGTTCTTTGTGGTGTCAACCAGGCATTAAGGGCCCTTCTTCCAGGTGGTGGAAGAGGCACAGAAAGACGACATGTCTTTTAGACCAAGTCTAAGTTTAGTAGAGGATAGAGCTAAATGTGGTTCATGGATTCTTGGTCCAGCTGAACTTCAGACCACTCCACCAAGGAGAAGGATCTCCACCTCTCCACTTCAGAGAGACTTTAGGGACGAGCTTTCATCCCATGGCCATGGCTCCAGGGGACCCTCTCCATGGCCGTACGCACCCGTAGGAACCACTCTCCAGCATTGAGCTTTTCCAGGTCAGTCCAGTTGAACATGGAGGAGTGCTCGTAGGCCCGCTCTGGAAACACTTCCTCCACGTTTGTTGTTCTCCTGAGTGTCTTGTCGTGCATCAGAAACGGCACTCCATCATAGCTGCAAAGACAGTCAGAGGCCCCATTACAGGTGGATGTGCACAACCATGTACACAGTACTAGAGAAATGCCCGTTCCCACTCCAGCCTCTCTCACGGCTTCACATCAAAATCATTGTGAAGATCTCAACCAGCTTAACACATTCCCAGCATCGCCAAGACCAGTTGAAATGAGATGCACCCAGAGGAATAAGTCTCTTGGATAACTGCTAGATGTTTGCAGTCATTCAAATGCTGACATAACCCTACCCATCCCTCCCTCCCTCCTCACCACTCCACTACCCCCTCAAAAATTTCTAGAGTGCCAAACTCAGGTAGCTTGGACAACACCACCCACCCTGAATGCTCATGCTAAACAAAGCTTTCTGCAATGTCTGTAGCTCCCAATAATGTCAGAGGTCTTCCATACCCTGTATGCACAGACACACACACAAACTATTGTCCAATTGTTAATAGCAGATGGTGAGTAAGATTTTCAAAGGCTCTCAGACTATATAGGTACTTAATGTTCACAGGCTTTCAGCAAGATGCAAGGTCTCCAAGCTACCAAAATTGCTCTGAAATGGCCTTTTCCAATTGAAAACTGGTTTCAGGAGACAGCTATGCTCACATGAGTCGTTAAGTTCATGCGTCTTAAAGAAAATGCACCTCTCAGATGAAACTAAATAGCCAAATGCATGCCCTGTGGTTTTTAAGCCACCTAGATATTACAGAACAATGGTTCTTGGAAACCTAAAAAGCTCTTTAAACTTTCTTCCAGCCCAATTTTCTGTGACTGGATCAGTGGTAACACCACACGGGGCAGTGACGGTTTCTATCAAGGGCAGGGGGACGATTGTCCTCAGTCAGAAATCAAGATAAACCCGGCACAGCCAGCCTGATTATAATGACATTTTCCAAATCAAGGAGCCCATCTTCATAACAGGAGACTCACATGAAGCCTGGAAAGGAGATGGGGTTAAAATAGAAACCCCATTTGAATTAGGAGACAACCCAGAGCACTCACTCCCAGAGCTAGAGGGAAAACACAAAACAATTTTAGATGATGGAGCAAACGCTGCCTCAGCTTTACCATTGCCTGCAGAAGTCCCTTATCACAAAGGTCATTGGCATCATTATTTGCTATTTCTAGAGTGCGCTGTGCCAACTACTTCCCCCCAACCCAAAGCAACACGCTGACACAGCAATACCATGCTCAGCAGCACACCATGCTGCTGCAATCAGAAGGGTTTTTAATAAATACAGTTAAAAAGAAAAAAAAAATGATACTAAGCAACTGCAGAATTAAGAGTGTGGAGTGTTTAAGGGAGATAGGAGCTGAAGTCTTAACATCTCATAGCAGAGCATCATCAGATAGAGCTGAGCCTTAACCACAGTGTGGAAATCCTATGGGGCACTTAACATTCGCTCCCTCCTGTCTAATCCTGCCCCTTACAGAGTCACTCAGCACTACCCGAGGCTAACCGCAACATATTAGCAGGCACAGGTTTGAAAAAATAATTTAGAGACAAAAAACAGGGCTTTAGTAGAAGAGATGCGGGAGGAGGTGGAAAATGAGAGAGGAACACACAGTGATACTACACTCCTGCTGCTTGAAACAAAGGTGGCTTTATAACCAGCACTGGCTTTATAACCAGGGCCACCCAGTTTGGGGTGTGTCATGGGTAGGCAGCAGGGTGTGGTGGGTCAGAGTGTATGTGCAAGCAGCCCACCCATGGCTGACATGTGCCTAGAAGAACATGGAAACATCCAGGAGGGAGTGGACCTATCCAGCCGCAGGCCGAAAGAGCATCTTTCAAAGGGATAATGACAGCAATGGGTGCTGTGCAGCAAACCTTTCCCAAAGCTGTGCCAGCTGTACTGATAGCTCACTTTTTGGTCTGAAGGTCACTGGAGTCATCTTTTTATAAAGAGACTTGGCTCTCCTAGGGAGGACCTCAGATAACTGGGCCAATCAAGGGCATTGTTTAAGCTATGGGATGCTTCAAGTACTCCTCTGGGATGGCTGATGAGTGGCAAGATGGAAAGCTCTTGGAGCTTTTCCAGCTCTCCTCCTCCTCCCAAAAGACCACCTTTCTCCTTGGCCAGTGCTAAGGGAAGTAACTGATTCAGCCACCACATGAGCCAGGCGCTCATTTGTGAGTTTGGATAGTCATGTTGTCCCTTCACAACAGTTAATGACTTAATTTTTGAAAGAAGAATTGTTATCACAAACATCCCAGTTCATACTTCAGCCTTCCACAAGGACCTTCCCTCCCTAGGGGGAAGAAATTCCTTTAGTTTTTATATCATTTGCTCTCAAGCAATTATGGAAAGAAGAAAAAGTACCCTAACAATTAAATTTCAGAAGCCCATCTTCCACCAGGCAAAAATATCTTTCCATCAACACCAACCTCCAAAGTGGTCAGGGGAAAAAAAAAAAAAAAAAAAAAAAAAAAAATCAGCTTTGAGTCTTTCTTGTATTTATAACTGGAACTGAGACAAACTGAGGGATCACCAAGATAAGGCATTACTGTTCCCTTCATACCACTTTTGCTCTCTTGCACGTCTATGTAACACATGCAAAAAGACACAGTTCAGAAAAGGAACAAGAATATTAAAGAATTATCAAACTCCTGGAACAGAGCACGGTTCTTGAAATAATCCTCTCTAAATTGGCCTTGTCAATTCAGCTCAACATTTGCCTGCAAGGAATGACTTTCTGACAGTCAGCAGTATCACCAAGTTCCTCCTTCCCCCAGCATTAGTGACACGCAAGGGAGGGGAGGAGGAGAAAAGTCTTATTCCTGGGCTGCTGAATTCTTGTGACGGTTTTGCAAGGCTCATAAAAACCCTCCTGAATACTTGCAGTGCAATGAAGTCAGTTTGGGATCTCCGCTCTCTCTGTACCTGGGTCATCACAGCAAAAGTCACATTTATCATAGAATCACAGAATCATTTAGGTTGGAAAAGACATAGGAGATCATCAAGGCCAACCGTTAACCCAGCACTGCCGGGAAGAAGTTTTTCCCAATACCGAACCCAAACCTGCCCTGGCGCAGCTTGAGGCCGTTCCCTCTCGTCCCATTGCTTGTTCCTGGGGAGAAGAGACCAACCCCCCCTGGCTCCAGCCTCCTTTCAGGCCGTTGCAGAGAGCGATGAGGGCTCCCCTCAGCCTCCTCTTCTCCAGGCTGAGCCCCCCCAGCTCCCCCAGCCGCTCCTCCCCAGCCTTGTGCTCCAGCCCCTGCCCCAGCCTCGCCGCCCTGCTCTGGCCACGCTCCAGCCCCTCCATGGCCTTCTTGGGGTGAGACACACACACTAGATAGGAAAGACCCACCAGCATGGTTTGGGCCATCCACAGAGAGTCTCAGACCAGCACACTGGCTTACCTCAGTACGACATCAGCTTGGACTCCATACATCTTCTGCTCCACTGCCTTCTGGAAGGACATCAGAGTGTTTTCTGGTGCCAACTATGGGGAAAAAAAAGAGCAATGAGAGGTTAGTAGTAAGTGGAAAAGCTTACAAAGCAGTGTCAGTGAGGATGCTGGAAGGAAGGTTTAGAGATATTAGGAAGCCAAAACAATCTTGTTTTGCAGATTACGTAGTGGCCAGTTACACTGGAGTACCAGCATCCCCCAGGCAGAATTGAATCTTACTGAAGCCTGAGGATGACCAATACATTTGACTCCACCAATGGTCTTTCACACACAGGACAGAGTTCAATGAAGAGTTACCATGACCTGCAATACCAGAAACCCAGCCAGCTCGAGGTCTGGTGCAAAATTAGTACATGAGAGATTTGCTCACCAGCATGGTCCCCCAAACAGTGGCTTGCTGGAGATCCCCAGAAAGTGATTGTAAATGTGATGCCAATTCTCTGTCCACAGGTTAGATCTAGAGCTATCTAAAACACCTTAACAGTTCTTCATTCTCCTACTTTTCTATGCCAACAGTGATTACAATGCCATTATAGAAAGAAGAAAAATCCATAAACCAGGGTATTATCCACATCATGGAGAACAACTAGACCACAGGTTCTATAGCACACATTTTATTTCCCCATCTACTCATTCAATAAAGTCATCTGTCTCTCAGTCTAAAAATCAGATAATTTCTCTAACAACAAGTGTTCTAGTTAGTTTTAACAACAATTAAAAAAATAGCCTTAAGCCTAGAATATTTATCCCTATGGCTATCACAGATAAGGACTCAAATGCTATTTCAAATTCCTTCCTGTCAAATGGAGCAGATTGTAACAGAATTCTGGTTTGTTTAAAAACAATACAGTGTGAAGACAAATACTTTGTTTTTCTATAAAGCCAGTACAGCATAGCTAGCCCCAAAATGTCCATAAACCAACAAACAGGCAGACCAGAAAAAAAGACGACAACTATGGAGAGAAAATCTGGCAGGTTTTCTGCACTGAAACATGAGCACATCAAAATAAAGCTATTTAAAAAAAATAATTTTCTTTTTTCCAATTTTGCTTTCAGGTTTAGAGCACCTGTAACATCCTATTTTTCCACTCATCCCTTCCACCACCAGGATCAGTAAGTTTCCATCAAGACACAATGAGCATTCACAAACCCATGATTTTCAAGAATTACTCAGGGTTTGGAAAGAGTAATAATTAAGAACAAAGGCCTCAATGCACCATGCAAGCAACGTGAACAACAAACACAAAAAATTGCTCAAGAGTTTAAGGTGTCTCTGAGAATCATTTGTTTTCTTATTAGCTGATGACCTTACATGCTCAGGTCAGCAAAGCTTTGGAGAAAAATAATCAGACCAAACGTCAGCAACAACCTTCACATAGCTCCAGTATCTCTCTACTGAATTCCTCTGGCTCAAGCCACGCATCAGTATTAGTTCGCTTTTCTTTTTGTTCAACAAAAGCAACACGGAGGCACATTACCTTCCTAAAAAAGCTCCCAATCAAAGCCTGACTTGTTTAGGAGAATACAGAGGCAACGCCCCCATCACACCCTCTTGCACAGCCCAGTGCTGGGTCACGCAAGGTCGAGCTGAAAGAGCTTTTTGCGATATATTCACGATGCCCAGAGCTGTCAGCAGGGAGCAGCAGCCACATAAAGATCTAGAGATCCCATCCAGGCAGACCTGCTCCATTTCCTTGGGTTGCTTTCAGCATCTCGGGTTCCCCCCCACCCCCAAGTAGCTCAGGTTTCCTCAGGATAACACTGTAAGGTGATCCTCTCTCTACAGGGTAATGCTCCATATTTGCTTTCGGAGACTGCAGCAATCACAAGGAAATAAAGTGTGTACTGTTCAAACTAGAGACAGCTGACCTAGAGAAACCAAAGGGTGATGCAAGACCACCAGCTTAAGTCAGGAAGGGTTGCCGGGTGGATGCAATGCAAGTTCCAGCTCAAGATGTGACACCACATCAAGCAGCGACTGAACCCACACCCCTATAAGCAGTTTTGCCAGGGATGCAGACGTACAAGGAATAGAAAAGCAAAGTGTGTTGAGTTGTAAATCATCTCCCAGGCTAAGGGAGATTGGAAAGGGCAGGTTGGACTACCTCCACTAAGCAATCAACGTAAAACCCTGTGACAAGGGTAGGACGGCAAGGGTAGGACGGCAAGGGTAGGACGGCAAGGGTAGGACGGCAAGGGTAGGACGGCAAGGGTAGGACGGCAAGGGTAGGACGGCACTGCTGTTACAAACCTACACAATGAAGAGCTCATATTGCATGAATCGGGGGTAACGAAGGCAAACAAGCACGGCTACAGCAGTATTCCACCTCTGTAGAGGCGGACCAGCATGTAACAAGGTCTTCTCATGTCTTACCTGTACACCAAACTGTGGCACAGCAGAATCCTAACCCAGAGAGGGCACAGGGTCTGCTGTTTGATAACAAGATTAAAAATGCTTCTTGCCAGACTGGACGAATTTGGCCACGTAAAGATAGTAGTGATGTTTGTGCACCTTAGGGGCAGTGCCAAAATACGGGTGGCAGTGAGTTAAAAACTGAGATTTTCATTGAGTTTTAAAACTCAGCACACTGAGACTGTCCCATCTTCAGCACTCAGACAGATGCCACTGAGCTTAACCCCATGGAGAAATGATCTCAGCCCCAGGAGTGGAATATTCCACTCCTGCCTCATCTCTAGCCCCTACAGAGCCTGCAGAGCACACTTCACCCTTCAAGAAGGGCAAAACGTAACTGGACGCCCCAGGGCTGCATGTGGCCACTCAGATATGAGGCACATCCATTCCTTTCCCAGGAACTTGATCCCAAACGCAAGTTAAATAAATTTACAAAACTCTGGCCAGATCTGTGTTGAAAACTGCCGCTGTGCAGAGGAAGCAGCATTTTAAAACTGTTCTAAGGACAGGCTGTCACTTAAGGTCTGACCTTCCAAATACAAACTTAGGAGCTGTAACATCGTCTTCATCACACCACCTCTAGAAGTGAAGAGCATCCTCTTGAAGAGCATCACAGATGGATGAATATATCTGGCTGCTCTGAATCAGCAAACAGCATGGACATCAGCAGAATCGCTCTCCGTAACACCGTGCCCCACAACGGCATAGAATCATAGAATCATTTAGGTTGGAAAAGACCTTTAAGATCATCGAGCCCAACCATTAACCCAACACTGCCAAGGCCACTACTAAACCATATCCCTAAGCACCACATCTACCTGTCTTTTAAAATACCTCCAGGGATGGGGACTCAGCCCCTGCCCTGGGCAGCCTCTTCCAGTGCCTGACAGCCCTTTCGGGGAAGAAGTTTCTCCTAATGTCCAACCCAAACCTCCCCTGGTGCAACTTGAGGCCGTTTCCTCTCATCCTACTGCTTGTTACTGGGGGGAAGAGCCGTGCTGGGTGCTACCCAGCACAGCTCGGTAGTCTCTATAACACCACAATGCTATTACTTGACAGAAGCTTTTGAAAAGGGGATTATAAGCCTTCCAGGCAAAGACGTCATCTTCGTGTGAGCATGTGGTGGGTTAGCTCCTAACCTGGCCTGAGCCAGTCACCCTGATGTGAAAAATTGCATCTTCAAATGAGTCCATCATCGATGCAGAAAGCTGTCCTCCCCAGTTTCTAAACCTCTCGGTCAATCGTAGCCTTGAGGGGACTGAACAAGCCACTCACACCAATGACATAACCCAGTAAAGGTCAACCAGAAAGCCAGGAAAGCAAATTTAATTCTGTCCCCTTAAAACTAGATGCTGCCTGTTCCTGGAGGTTCCCCTGGCACCACTTTGGAGGCAGGATCTCTCTATACCAGGAGTTCATATCCCTTACAATGTGAGCTTTTTGTGAAAAGAGAGAATCTGAGTAACAGATAGTTCCATCATCCCAGTCTGTCTCTCTTTCCCTCCACGCAAGAGGTCTCTCTTTTCCTCCAAGCAAGAGGGAGCTGAAGCCTTAAATTCAGCATGTTTAGGGCAGAGAGGCATCCAAGCAGGACAGTTGCTGGTACAGAAATTACTTGCTGAGATTAATGCTGATTTTTTAAAAAAGGTTTTACAGCAAAACCGCAAGAACTAAACAAACACATAATCTTTCTGCTTGTGTTTCTCTCTGTCTCCCTCCAGCTTCTTCAATGGGTTTTCCTCCTTGATACAACACATTTAGGCACATTATGTCTAAAACCCAAATCCAGGTTTGCAGTGATCCAGTGCAACTGGACACAACCGATTTCTTACGAAACCAGTGCTAAAGTGAAGGGAACCCTGGGGCACAAAGCAACGATTTCACTCCAGAACCTCTGTCCTATATAAAACATGCCAACATCCACTGAAAGCCACAGACAGACCCCAGGCAGGGTTTGTAGAAGCTGTTCCTTCTCTTCACACTTGGTTTGATAGGCTCATCCCTTGCAAAAATCAGGCTACTATTCATTTCTTCCTACTAGAGAGATACAGCAAGTAATTTCTACAAAATTACCCATGAATGAACTCATTTTGACTATTTTTGTGCTTAAAAGTCAATGGCAAATGCTTTCAAATGGAGTCAAGCTTTGGACCTTCCTTAACGAAGATTATGAAAGCACACTAGTTAGAGCAGCGCAGCCTTGCTACACTGTATTTTTCCCCTAATTAGCCACCTTGCTAGGCCTTCAAAAAAAAAAAGAAAAAAATCACTGCCTCATTTGCATGTTGGGGAGGCTAACGAAGAAGCTTGCACAGAAGAACTGAATTTGTTCCAAACTAACCACTACGCCACTGCACACCTCTGGCATTGGGCGCTGAGCTGCGCTGAAGGATTTGATCTTTGCTTCATCGACAAACTTTAAGGATATTCTCTCATCCTTCCGGGAACATGGGCATCATTTAAATTTTTTTTAAATTTTCCCCTCCCTTATCGCTCCTTTCCAGTATCAATGTCCTCATGAGCCAATAATTGGACTAAAAACACAAGGCACGATTAGGGAGATACCTGAAAAATGGTATTTTCCTTTCTGTTAAAAAGGTGCCCTTTGGAAGTTCCCTGT